TACTAAGTGTTAAGGATTTTTCATTTATGTTTACAAGAGATAACTATCTGTAGTTTTCTTGTGAAATCTTTTCTGTAGTATCAGGGAAACATATGTCTAAGCAAATGAGTGAGGAAATGATACTGCTTGCTCTATTTTCTCTAAGATTTTGTATAGGGTTAGTATTATTTATTAAATGTTTGACAGAATTCATTATTGAAATATCTGGGCTTTCTGAAACATTCTTTGTGGGAAAGATTTAATTTTGAATTCATTTAATAAGTACTAAAATATTCCATTTCGGGGGTAGTTTTGATAGTTTAAGAAATTGCTCCATTTCCACTAAGCTGTCATATTTATTGCTGAAAATTTATTTGTAATATTACCTTGTTCTAATGTCTGTATGATTCCTTCTTGTATTCCTGATATTGATATTTCATGCATTTCCTCCTTTTTTATTGATTGATCAAATTAGAGGGTCATCAATTTTATTAATCTTTTCAAATAACCAGCTTTTCTTTTCATTGATTTCTTGTTTTCCTGTTTTCTACAATGGATGACCACTCTGTAATATCCTGCCTTCTATTTAGTTTGGGTTTACTTTTTTTTCTTTTTACTACCTTTTTAAGGTGAAAGCTTAGATAACTGATTTAATATCTTGTCTTCTAATATAAACAAAGCTATAAATTTCTTTCTAAGTACTACTTTGGTCATATCCCACAAATTTTGATATGCTATAGTTTCAAGTTCATTCAGTTCAAATATTTTCTAATTTTTCTTGTGGGGGGTTAAGAGCATATTGTTTAATTTCCAATTATTTGGGCATTTTTCACATAGCTTTCTGTTGATTTCAAATTCAATTCCATTTTGTCAGAAAATACAGTCTGTATGATTTTAATAGTTTTAAATGTATTGAGATTTGTATTATAGCTTATTGTACATGTTGCATTGGCACTAGAAAAGAATGAAAAGTATATGTATCTGTTGTTTTGGGGCAGAGCTTTATATAAATTTCATTTGGGTTATGTTGGTTCATAGTATTGTTCCAATGTTTTATACTGTTGCCAATCTTCTATGATTTTTTTGTATCATTTACTGAGAGAATTATTGAAATCTCCAGTTATAATTGTTGGTCTATTTTTACTTTTAAGTTCTGTCAATTTTTGCTTCATATATTTTGTAATTCTCTTTTAAGTTCATACACATTCAAATTATCATATCTTCCTGCTATATCGAACTATTTAGCATTATGTAATAAAATGTCATTCTTTGTCTCTAGTATTACTCCTTGTCTTAACATCTACTTTATCTGACATTAATATATATTCACTTCATCTTTCATGTGTTTACTCATATGGTATATATTTTCAATTTTTTTTCCTTCAATCAGTACATATATTTGTATTTAAAATGCATCTCTTATAGGCAGCCCATAGTTGGGTTTTCATTTTGTATTCAGTCTGCCAATCTCTGTCTTTTGTTTGGAGCATTTAGTCTCTATTTACATTTGTAATTACTGATGTGGTTTGATTTGGGCTTGCTATTATGCCCTTTTTAAAAATTTTTTGAGACATTTGGAGATCTACATGAAGTAAGAAACAATACAAAGAGATCTTGTATACTTTTTAGATAGTTTCCTTCAATGGTAATATCTTGAATTTTTGTCTAATATCACTTTGAGGTTATTTACATAGATAGAATTGAGATACAGAACATTTCTATTACACAAGAATCTCTTACCTGTTGCCCTTGTGTAGCCACACCCACTTTCCTCATATTCCCATCCCGCCTTAACCCCTAGCAACCACTAATCATTCTCCATTTCTATAAATTTGTCACTTGATAGATGTAACCTTTGCGGGTTATCATTTTTTTCATTCAAATAATTCTCTGGAGATTCATCCAGGTTCTTATGTGTAACAATAGTTTGATCCTTTTTATTGCTAAGTAGCATAATGTATCATCATTAACCATTAACTATAATGTATCATCAACCATTCACCTCACGAAAAACATCTGAGTTGTTTCAGGTTTGAGATATTATAGACAAAGCTGCTGTAGACATTTGTCTGCAGAATTCTGTGTGAACGTCACTTTTCATTTTTCTGGGATAAATGGCCAGGAGTACAATTGTTGGATCTTATGTTAGTTACATTTTTACTTTTTTCCATTTCTTTTTAGTTGACACATAAAAGTTGTACATATTAGGGTAATTAGGATATTCATCACTTCAAACACTTATCATTTCTTTGTGTCAGGAAAATTCAAAATCGTGTACTTTAGTTTTTTGAACACATACAATAAATTATTAACTATTAATATATTTATCCTACAGTGCTATAGAACTCTACAACTTATTCCTCCTACCTAGCTGTAATTTTGTACCCATTAACCAACTTCTTCCTATCCTGACCTCCCTGTTCCCCTTCCCTGCTCTAATAACCATAATTCTCTACCCTCTACTTCTACAAACTCAAGTTTTTTTTTTTAGCTCCCACATATGAGTGAGAACACACAGTATTTATCTTTCTGTGCCTGAATTATTTCACTTAACATAATGACTTCCAGGCTCATTCAGGTCATTATGCTTTTTTTTTAATTTGTTTCATTTCTTTTTTGATTCTGTTTCTCTTTTTTGTCTTCTTTTATAGTAAACAAAAGATTTTTAGTATATCATTCAATTCATCTATTGGCTCATTAGGCTTTTTTTTGTTTGTTTTGCTTTTTTTTTAAGTGGTTGCTCTAGGGATGACAAAAGACATCTTGAACATATCACAATTGACTCAGCATTAAAATTGAATTATCTCCAGTAAATCATATATTTTATTTCCATTTATATTCCATTTTTGTGCTATTATTGGCATGTATATATAATTAATATATAATGTAAACTCAAAAATATAATACTATTATCTTTGCTTTATACATCTTTTAAAGATTTCCAGAGAAGAAAATATATAGTGATTAATATCCACACATTTAGCATTTCCAGTACATTTCAGTATTTCCTGTATATCTGAGTTATTATCTGGTATCATTTATCATTAGCTATAGGACTTTCAGTTCATCTTGAAGTATAGGTCTGTTAGTAACAAGTTATCTTTGATTTTGTTGATCACAAAATGTCTTTATTGACCTTCATTTCAAAAAGACAACTTCATACCATGGAGTACTATTCAGCTCTAAGAAACAATGGTGATATAGCACATCTTATATTTTCCTGGTTAGAGCTGGAACCCATACTACTAAGTGAACTATCCCAAGAATGGAAAAACAAGCACCACATATACTCACCAGCAAACTGGTATTAACTGAGTAGCACCTAAGTGGACACATAGGTACTACAGTAATAGGGTACTGGGGAGGGGGGAGGGGAGAGGGGGGCGGGTATATACATACATAATGAGTGACATGTCCACCATCTGAGGGATGGTCATGCTGGAAAATCAGACTTGTGGGGGGAGGGGGGAAAGGGCATTTATTGAAACCTTAAAATCTGTACCCCCATAATATGCAGAAATAAAAAACAATGAAAAAAAAATAAAAAAATATAAAAAGACAAGTTCACTAAATATAGAATTCTTGATTTTTTTCCTTTAGCATTTTGAATTTCATCCCTATGTCTGTTGATTTCCATTATTTCTGATGGGACGTCAGATGTTTATATAGTATATCATTTTTTTCTCTTGTTATTTTCAAGGTTTTCTCTTTATCTTTGCTTTCACCAGTTTGACTATGATATGCCTTGCTGTGGTTTTCTTTGGGTTTATCCTAATTGGATTTGTTGAGCTTAGTGGATCTTTAAATTAATGGCTTTTACCAAACTTAAGAAATTTTTGGCCAACATTTCTTCAAGTATTTTTTCTGTCACTTTTTTCTTTCATCCTGTCTAGTACTAAAATTATTCATGTGTTGAACTACTTGATGATGCTACATAGGTCCATGCTGCTTTGGCTATTTTTATTCAATCTTTTTGGTCTCTGATTTTTTGACTAGATACTTTTTCTTGTTTTATCTTTAAATTCACTGAATTTTCTGTTTTCATTTTAAATTTGTTGTTGAGTACATTGAAAGAATTTTCACTTCATTTATTAGGCTTTTTAGCTCTAGAATTTCCATGGATGGGGATATTTCTATTTCTCCATTGAGATTCTGTATCTCTTGACTCATTGATACTATGTTTCTTTTAATTCTTTGAACATATTTTTCTTAATCCATTGAATATATTTATAATAGTGTCTTTGCTGCTAAATCTAACATCTGTGTCTACTTGAATCAGTTTCTACTAACTTCTATTTTTCAGAGTATTTTTCACACTTTCCTATTTTTATTTTGTAGGTCTGACAATTTCTGGTTGAAAAATGGATAATGTAGATAATACAATGTAGCAACTGTAGAATCTATTCTGCTCTTTTGATTGTCAATTTGTTGTTGTTGTTATAGTAGGCAATTAACTTGCCTGAATCCCCTGTTAATGTGCAGCATCTGATATATCTGCTTAGGAGTCTAAACAAAGGCCTCAAAAGATCCATTAAACATCTTAGAATTTTATGATTGTTAGAGATTCAAAGTTTAGAAATTTAACATTTTTATTAGAAATATCTTTATCTTATTTCTCTTAAGTCTTACTCCTCCAATATAATTCAGCTGTTGTAACAGAAAGCTAATATCTTACTTTGTTATAAATTCAAATCAGTATTTCAGACATCTAATAAAAACTGTCATAAATATTTGAAAAATTGTGAAAAAAGCTAAATTTAAGATGTTGAATTAAAAACTCAGGCTATATACTATATACTATATAAAATGTACTATAATTTTTTTGGAATTAGGTTCTACCTAAAAGATAGTATAATTTTACTTCTCTAGATGAAATCATTTTAACTAAAATGCTAGGATAATATTTTAATAGAATTTATTTAAAATAAAAAAATTCTGAAAGAATCAAAACTACAGTAATAAAGTAAAACATCTATTGCTTAAAAATATAACATATCATATAGCATAGGATTAATACTCACTTAGTTCTTACAACACACCATGCCTCTTCTAAAACATAATAATGCACATGTAACTCCAACAATTTATCTCTTACTTCTTTTGGGGATTTTCGACTATATGCAGAATAAACTATTTTTGTCCGGGCCCTTTAAATTTAAACAACAGGTTAAAAGATTTTAAAATAAATTATAATAAAGTAGACTAAAGAAATCTTACTAGCAAATTAAAATCTCAGTACTCACTATAAGGAACATTGATATATATGACCCAAAATAGCATAAATTATTTTGGGGATAGCAGGTCCACATTCCTACTTATATTTTGAATGTGCTAAAACTTAGAGCCATTTTAATTTTGCAATATTGCTTGTTAGTGTATAAACTAGCCTAGTTGTACTGGGTAGCAGCTCAAGATATAAAGATTTCATCATATAATTCACAAAATTATTATGGAATATATTCTGATAGAGACTGAACGTAGTAAAAACATAAATTTCAATAGATAATTTCATCTACAGAAGTTGTAAGAAACACATGAATTGAAACTGAATGTATCAAGTAGAACATTTAGACGATGGGCCTCTCGGTATCAGAATAAGTAGAAAAAGCACCTCAACAAAATCTTGAGAAATAGGGAGGTACAACAGATAATCTGGCTCTAAGTGGGAGTTCTCATGAAATCCTGAACAAACTGCCACTTATGCATTAGATATTACTTAAAATTTCAAGCATATGGGATGCCTAATCAGCAGAGCCAGACATAAAACTTAAAATAAATAAAAAAAATTACCTCCAATAATAGGCCAAAAGTCTATTAAAAGGAAAAGATTACCCTTACAATTACTAGAATGATCAAAATAATTTTTATAACCTTCCATTTAAGGTAAACAAAATTTTAGACCTCAATGGAAACTAGCTAGAGTTCTCATAATCAACTAGCAAAATACCCTAAATTTTCATAAAAGCATGTAAAGTAGAAAATCTCAACACCTAAGTGGACATATAGGATAACATTTATCGGGTGTCCGGCAGGTGGGAGGGGGGAGAAAAAGATGGGTATACATATACATAATGGGTGTGATACACACCTTCTGGGGGATGGTCATGCTTAAAGCTCTGACTCGAGGTGGGAGGGGGAAAAGGGGAACATACATGACCTTAACATTTGTACCCCCATAATATGCTGAAATAAAAAGAAAAGGAAAAAAAAGGAAAATCTCATGTACTTTTTTCTACCTATTAAAAAAGGGTAGATTTTGGCCACCAATAAAATCTAGAAATGGTTTCTGAAACTAGAGAGGGGCTTGTGGTCCAGAGCAGGGGTTGCCAAACTATGGCTAAGAACCAAACCCATCCTACCGCCTCTCCCTACTACTTAGGAATTTTACTGAAATACACACACACACATGTACAAGCCATAAATATGTGACATGTTTTTCATTTTTAAGAAAAACTGATTTTGCTTTTTTAAGTTTTCAGAAGTTTATTAAGCCTGATTCAGAGGCAACAGGTACATATTGTCATTTCTGGGTGGTTATTATAATTTTTTTTAACTTTCAGCACAAATATTTGGATGAGAATGTGTGTGTGTGTGTGTGTGTGTGTGTGTAGATTCTTCCCAATTCCTAAGAATGAGCAGTAAGTAGGAAGTGAGTCTGGTTGAATATATTCAATCGGTTGCCAACCTCAAGTCTGCATCTTCGTAATGTGGGTGATTCACAATGGGATGAAGTGTAGACAGCTTGACACTTGCCATAGTAGGCATGGCACCTGCGAAAACAGCATCTAAAAAACACAATTATACTCTTTAATAAAATGTTTTCGAGAAAACCAAAAGTTAAACTTATTTATAATATTTGAACCCAAATTAAGAAAGATGAAGCATATTTAACCACTTCGGTATGGCGCTCACAGCCATGAAACCTTGCCCACAGCCGGCACTCATAGTCCACAAGATAGTTTGTGCTGTGCATTGACGACGAATCCGTTTTGCTCTTGTATGATGAGGAAAGCTTTAAAGCACTGAAAGCTTGTTTTACTTTACAGGAAGCTTTACTTGTAATGTAAATGAGAATAGGTAACATATACAAATATGTTTTTATTACATTATTTTTAAATGTTCACAATTTTATTTTGATAAATGAAAAATTAAAAAAGTCATATCACGGTTGTTGGCTAAAGTCAACGCTTGGCTGTGCACCTTCGTATCACGGCTGTTGGCTAAACTCGATGCTCGGCTGTGCACATTCATCTGTGGCTATCGACTATAGTTGATGCTTGTACTGAAGTGGTTAAATAACCATTGACATCATTCTTTGTCTACATTCACTGTCTACTGTAATAACAGCTAACTTCTGTTAAATGTTATCTTGGTGCTAGAAACTGTGCTCATTATTTTTTACAAGGATTAAACAACTTAATTTGCACAACAACTCTAAGATGCATGTTCTCTGTTCTTATTTTGTAGATAAGGATGCAACTGCAGAGACAGCGAAGTTAAAGTGGCTTGTCCAAGACTACACAGTTGGGAAATTTCTTAGCCACATTACTACAGCTTCCTGCCAGGAAAGAGTACTATTCTAAGGGCCAGGACTGCAGAGAGACACAGAGGGCTATAAAGAATGTAAAATTTCATATCTTGTCCCAATAATTTAAAATGCTAGAACTGAGAGACTGCTATAAAGGGTAAGCCTCATAGTACATCTTTCAAATAATTTTTGCAGATTATGAACTGTAGTCCTGTGGAGGTGCCAGACAAAAACATTGTTTTCTTCCCTCATGCCACCTTTAAAGATTCATAATTAAGTTCTCTTAGTTTCCACTTGACTTTATACTATTTATATATTCCATCATTTTATGCTTGCTAGTAGTACTTTTTGGAATAATAGCATGTATAAATTTGGTTCTGACTAGAGCTACACCAAAATCTATTATCTGGCTTCAGTTTCATCTCTTAAAAGACCAAATGCTTACTTCCTGGCACTCTTGTATAATAAATGATTATATAATTATGAAGGTTATTATCATTTTTAATCAGCACAAAAAAAATCAATAATAAAAATAACTCTAGTCATCAGGGAAATGCAAATCAAAACCACAATGAGATATCACTTAACTCTGGTAAGAATGGCCTTTATCAAAGTCCCCAAACAACAAATGCTGGCGTGGATGTGGAGAGAGAGGAACACTCCTACACTGCTGGTGGGACTGCAAACTAGTTCAATTTCTGTGGAAAGCAATATGCAGATACCTCAAAGCGATACAAATAGATCTACCATTTATTTGGTCCAGCAATTCCACTACTGGGCATCTACTCAAAAGATCAAAAGTCACTTTATGAAAAAGACACCTGTACGCGAATGTTTATAGCAGCACAATTCACAACTGCAAAGATGTGGAAACAACCCAAGTGCCCATCAATTCATGAGTGGATTAATAAAATATGGTATATGGTATACCATGGAATACTACTCAGCTTTAAGAAACAATGGTGATATAGCACCTCTTGTATATTCCTGAATACAGCTGGAACCCATTCTACTAAGTGAAATATCTCAAGAATGGAAAAACAAGCACCACATGTACTCACCAGCAAATTGGTATTAAAGGATCAACACATAAGTGGACATATAGGAGTAACATTTATCGGGTGTCGGGAGGGGGGAGGAGGGGATGGGTATATACAACCACAACGAGTAAGATGTGCAACATTTGGGGGATGGACACGCTTGAAGCTCTTACTCAAGGGGGGAGGGGGCATGGGCAATATATGTAACCTTAACACTTGTACCCCCATAATACGCTAAAAAAAAGAAAAGAAAATATTAAAATGAAATAGTGAAATGTTTCAAATTAAAATTGAAATAAATTATGACAGCAGAAAAAAAAATGTTATTCGGATCTGCTGTAAACAACTGAATGTTTACTTTCAAATATAACTAAACATTCTAAACATAACTTTGAATGAAAATCTCTTTATAAGCCTTAAATTTGAATATTTGTAAGTTAACTGACGAAGGAATGTGTATTTATTATTGCAAGATTCAATAATTAATAATGACAGCTGTTAGGCTACAGAAGTTCTCAACCAGGGGTGAGTTTGCTCCCCAGGGGACACTATCAACTTCTGGAGACATTTTTGATTGTCACACTGGGGCATGGGGTGAGGAGATGCTATTGGCATTTGGTAGGTAGACTCCAGGAATATCCTGCAATGCACAGGAGAGCTCCCTGTGTCAACAGTGCTAAGCTTCAAAAATTCTGGGCAAGAGGTATCCAAAAACCCAGGATCAGGGTCATCCAGAAGAATCTAGGAATGCCTATTCAGCAAAAGCTGGAACCACTAAGAAGATACCATCTATGGCAGAGAGAGAGGGAAAAACACCCCCCTCCCCACTTTCTTTTGTTTTGGCAGTGAGGTAAATGATCACAACAGGGAATAGGAAACAACATGTTTTCCTACCAATGTACTGAAGTTTCCATTTAGATTACTGTATGGATTAGAAAACGGCAGCCCCTCTGACTTGACAGAGCCCCACTAGTCCAGGGTTTGATAAATGGACCATAGGCTAGATTTCAGCTCCCATCTGTCCTCTCAACTGATTATCTTTGTGCAATACACAAACTATAAAACTTTACATGGTAGACCTGAATGTAGTCACTAGTCCATCCCATACCTTAAAACTTCATGCAGCTTTTAATAAATATGTGGTAACCATGAGAGAACTCATACCAAAAAGAATTAAAAAAAAGAATAAAACAGATTGAAAAGAAGATCAAAGAAGAGGCAGCTAAAAATGAGATAGGGGTTTGTGGGTTTATCTCAGAAGAGTAAGTTGCTAAACATTGGCTTTGTATGCTAGGAACCCAAGACAAACACTGGAACAAAGAAAGACACAAGAAAAGATTAAAAGAGTAGGTATCTTTAAAAGCTTGGGGAAAACAACTATAACTGGGGAGGGGCAAGGGAAAAGAAAGGGAATGCCTATCTTGAGCTCCTACAGGTAAAGTCAGTTGGGGATTAATTTAAAATTTCTAATTAAAATGGTTTGGCAGTTTAACAAGGCACTATCACCCATACCCTTTGAAACTACAGATGAAATATCTGAGTTGAAGCTTATGAAGATTTACCTTAATGATGGTAAAATAGTGACTATTAAATAAGAGATAAAAGGAAACCAACTCAAGGAGGCACAGGAAAATTTATATAAACCACAGTGAATAATTTGTGCCAGAGAAAGTTGCCAAATATGAAAAATAGTCTCAGATAAGATTATACATTTAGTTATAGAAAATATTGTAGAATATATGTATTTCCTCAAAGGTATTTAAAAATGAAATATCTATTTGCTTGAGGTAATTCTGAATAAAGATAGCAAGAAAAGAAGATATGCTAAAAATAATAGTTTGGAGTATTTCAAAATAGGTTGTATACTCATCCCTTTGAGATGATTTAGTAAACAAAATATAATATCTAAGATTTTAACTCTTTTCCACATGGCTGGTTTTACAGAGTCAGAGGAGACAGCACTGACTAAAGTGATAGAAAGGGTGCTGGGTAAGTCCCCACAATCAAAACTATCTTCTCCAGGGGCCTGCCAAAAGGTGTGAAATTTTGCTCTTAAAGATTTCTTCAATTTGTCATTGTTACAGTTAAAATACAATAATGCTGAGAGTTATAGCACATAACTTGTAGAAAATCATTAATTCCTTGGTGTTAAAGTTTTTGACAGTTATCTAGGAGAGGTTTAAAGGGGACACAAAATTGCCTTTTGAAAGGGTTTCATTGAGTGATCATTGCAATAGGCATGCTCAAAGTCTGTGAGAGTACGAAAGACTGTATTTGTAAATCATATACACATATACATAAGCACAGACACATATATATGAAGTGATAACTATATAATTATATACAAATATGTATGTTTGTGAGTGTGTGTGTGTGTAAAACGAACTACACATATAAATAGCTACATACCTGGTCTGGTATTGTATCTGATCCATTGTATAAGTTCTTCCTGAGGCAAATTATTAAATTCTCCTATTATGCTCCATTGATTATGGAGGTTGGCACAACCTTGTACTGACATCACTGTTAGAATGCCAAAGATAACATTCTCAAAACGAACTCTGCAAAAAAGCCAGCCAAAGAGCTGAAATGAAAGAAATTATTTATTTATAAATCTTATATGAAGAGTGCTATAGAGTCTATAATAAATTGTCACCTTGCAACTTAAACCAAGATGTATTATCCTTTGATATCAGTACACAAATATACAGAATTATCATCACCCATTGTTTAAAAACGAGCATGCTGGAATTACAGGACTCAGGTAAAAATGGAGCTTTCTCTCCACTCAAAAGAATTAAGGAAGGAATACCTGATCCTTCTAATATTGATTTATCACCGGGGATTAAGATTAGTAATTCACAATTGTGAAACATCCTAAAACAGCAGTCCCCAACCTTTTTGACATCAGGGACCTGTTCCATGGAAGAGTTTTTCCACTGACTGCAGGGCCGGGGTGGAGGGTGGGGGGTGGGGGGAGAGAGCGCAACCTGGAACCCTTGCATGCGCAGTTTGCAGTGGAGTTCACACACCTATGTGGGTCTGATGTCAGGCTGATCTGACAGGGGAGGTGTGGAGGGGCCACTCCGGGGGTGATGGGAATGATGGGGAGCGGCTGTGGGTACAGGTGGGGCTTCACTTGCCTCCTGCTGTGAGGCCTGGTTTCTGCTAGTCTGTGCCTGGAGGTTGCAGTCCTAGAATGAAATCCTTTAACATTGGCTGCCTTTTATGGAAATCTTGAATAACTGAGGGAACCCTATTAGCATTGTCAGAAATATTCCTCTCAGAAAAATGGATGCTATGATATTTTGATGTTTATAAATCAAAACTATATAAGGTGTTTCCAAAAGTGCCTTAGTCCCAAAATTCTAGTTAATTTATCGAGCTATTTTGTATGTAAGATAGAGGAGAATCCCAGGGTTTTTTAGGGATTCTCTCAGCCAAACAGGACCATACCACAACAGTTGCTCTGCATCTACTCCCATCTTGGATAAGTAATTGAGGGTAGTTCTGGGGAGGCAGAAGACTCTTCCAACAGACCTGAGCTCCAAAGGATTATGTATGTGGATAGGATGTTTAACAGAGAGAGGGGAAAGTGTGCCTCATCACTTGTCACAAAAATATCTGTTAAAATCTAGAAATGATTTTCAAAACTACTTGAAATTGCTTTTTCTACTCTATAGTGAATCATGAACTAACATTTTAAATCATTTTATTAATAGTTATGTTAAAAACACTTAGTGTTTTTCTGTTTTGCATTACTCAGCAAAGCTATGGTAACTACGCTGTAGCTGCTATAGTTATCACAGTGTAGTTATACAAGAATGAATTCCTTACCCGTCGAGAACACATCAAGGAAGCCATAATGCACATATGTGGTGTCAAAAACAGCTTCAGCCTCATAATTAAAATGGCAAGGGCAGTAAATGCTAACAACTGCAATGTGTGAAAAACCAGCTATAAAACACAAATAAAACAAAATGACATTTTTACTTTATACATTTTTAAATTAATAAATATAAAATATATTAAAACTATTACATTCATTAGAATGAGGATATTCTACTTAGTAATAAATCTATTAACATTTATTCATTCATTCAACAAGGTTAACTGAATGCGCTCTATATTCCAGGTACTGGTCTGTGTACTTTGGATACAACGAAGAACAATGTCTGCCCTTGTGAGACTTATGTTTTGGTATATTCAGTAAGGAGAGACAGACAATACATAGACATGGCAAATAAATAAACCATTATATAATATTAGAAAGTGATAAGTGCAGTGGGTAAGAAACTGGAGCAGGAAAGGAGCCAGAAAGTATACAAGGTGCTGTAAGAAGGTGGGGAAACCGTCACAGTGGGGCGCCCACAGGATAGGTGACATTTAAGCAAGGACCTACCCAAAGTGAGATGCGATCCCTGGGGACAGAAACATATGAATGCTTCACTAAGGTACTTGTCATTCAGTGAATAACAGAAATCACAGCAGAACATAAACTAGATTAAAGTGGTGGAATTATATACATATTTGTATTAACTGGTAGGATATCCTATTATGATCAAGGTGGGGTTACAATGAGTAAAGTATTCAAACAAATTTTATAATATATTCATTCTTCAACTTTTCACTAGAAAAATGACAATGAATATGAAAAAATAATGCAACAAAAGTAAATGGCAACTGAATATTTATGTACTAACTCACTTTAAAACAAATTAAGTATTAAAGATAGTGAGATATTTTCATCTGTCAAATTAAAAAATATTAAACTAATACTGAATGTTAGAGAGATGCAATGAAACAAACACTGAAATAATAAGTTGATGAATTTCTATAATTTAAAAATGTTTACCAAAGGCCTAGAAAAGAGCCAATCCTTTTGGCTTAAATTTCTATTCTAGGAATTTACTTAAGAGAATAACCAAAACACAAAGATGTTCTACAAAGATGATCATGGACTGTATTTTGAATAGCAAAAGTGGGAAACATTCTAAGTGGCTAATATAGAGGAATAGTAACGAAATTACTGCATATCCACTGGTATATAGCCATTAATAATTACATATTGGAATGTTATTTAATGGCATGAAAAAGTTCTGAGGGTATAAAACTCTATATGTACAGAATGATATTAATTATGTGAAAAACATCTAGGTATATTATGCAAGGGGATTCACAGGGGACAGAAAAGGTTAAGAAAACATACCAAAAAGTTAACAGTTTATTTCTAAATGGTCATTTTTCTGCATTTAAAAAAATGTTAACCATATGATAGTTTAATCAGAAATACATTTATATTTAAAGCAGAATGGTAAAAAAAAAAAAAAAAACCTCTACCCAAAGCTGTTTTATTTCATTTTTAAAATAAAGATGTTTAAAAACAGAATTTATTAGTTTTTTTCCCATAATTCTTAGACACAATATTAGAATGGGGAACATTTATTTCAAAATCAATCCTTCATTTTTCTTTAGTCAAACTCATCAAACAAAATCAGGGACATACCAGAGAGGGAATAAAAAAGACCTATCATATTTCAAACCCAAATAGGTCCTCTTGTTTAGAACCACTAAATCATAGACTGGTAACTTACATGGTCCACCTACTTTAATCACCTTTCCAAAATAGGCATCTATTCTATAAATTGATAAATTGGATATTCACAATTTCCTAAACAGGGATATGTCATAGGAATATATACTACAATGCTGGATAGATAGCTGTGAATTTTAGAAAATCTTTCCTCAAACTAAACCATTATGTTTCTGTCACTTCCACAGAAATGTGTAAAATTAGTCTAAACCCATTTATGCATGAAAGCTCTCTATTATTTAAATATTATAATTATGACTCTGCACTATTACTACCTTCCCCCTTAGAAAGCTTTCTATTTTTAGGCTAAATATTCACAATACTTCACTTATTAGTTCTGTATTGTCTCAATTCTGGTTTCCCTTCTCTGGACATAGTATAGATTGTACAGATTTTCTTAAAATGTGGCATCTAGAAATAGGCTATAATAGATATGATCTAATAAATGCAACCACACATCTAATTTCTCCCAATATTCCTTCTTTGGCTATTTTATGCCACAGATTGACACTGTCATTTTCTCTCATATTCCATTCACTTCTACCTCAGCAACAACTTTTCACATGATCACAATTAAATCCAAAGTTTTTCTTGACTTTCTTCTGTTATCTAAGGGTTAAAAGAAGGACTCTATTTTCACATGGAGACTTGAATAAGCTCTACCATTTCCTTATCTTTTCTGTATTTTTTTGTTTGTTTGTTTTTGTTTTTTGTGGCTGGATGACAGACTAGCAGCTATTCCAAATGGTATCACTTATGTTTGTTTTTCTGTTCTCTCCAAATGCTCCTAACCATCCTCTGCTCTCAGGCTCCTGACATACCATATAGTTCTATCAGACAGATTTCTTTTTAGCAACTAAGTAGAGGACGGAAGGCTACAGTCAGACAGTATAGTATAAAAATCACTACTGTAAGTACACTATTATCAACTTGTCAGTACCTCTTTCCATGTAAAAAATTATTAGGAAAATCCTCTCAACATTTTTTAGAGGCTGGAAGCAAGGCAGGAAGGAAACTGTTCACGATAGTCTTTGGAATAAGTGAATCCAACAGGATAAAGTGTGGGGTAGCAGCTACCAAGTGAAGAGAAAATGGGGATTACATGTCTAAGAGCAGTCCAAATGGCAGGTTTGATTCTTTAAAAACTACCTCCAATGAGAGTTCAGAGATGTCATGTGAACAAGCTAAAGAAATGCCCCTTCACGGGCACAGTTAATAGAAGGCAGAATACTAGCTGGAGCCTCCTGATCTCTTGGTCCAGAAGTCCCACTAATTGCACAGGTGAACATTTACACAGTGCTTAGCTTATATGAGGCATTATTCTAAGTACCTTATGTGTAATTCATTTAATCCCTAGAAACCATATGAAATAGGCACTGTTATTGTTGTTTCCAGAACGACATTAAGCAATTTAGCCAAGATTACATAGTAAGTAGAAAACTAGGATCTGAGTCCAGTCTTGCTCCTGAGTCTGTGTCTTTACAACTATTATGCTTTCTCTCCAAGTAAATTATTGATCAACATGGTCAATTAGGCTGTTAACATGGAAGTTAAAATACCTCCAAACACATATCAATCAATCAGTTTCTCAAAAAAAAGTAATTCTCTCTCTAAATTTTGTATCATTTCACTTCTTTAATAGAATACCTCCACACTGACTCAGATACCTTCACAGCTGTTTGTCACAGAAAACCCTTCAGCTGTAAGTCAAGAAAAACCTTGTTTGTAACAGAAAACACAGACTTAACTGACTTAAAATATAAGGGGTCAAATATAAACTGATCAAATGATATAATGAACTGTAGGGATTAGAAAAAAAAGTGAAGGCGGATACAGGACTGACTGTTATGGACAAAATGAGATGTGAGTGGGTCAAAAGAATAGTTGGGCAGAAAATACACTCAATATTATCTTTCCACAGCCTATCTTCACACTAATTCCTTATAGCGACAATGACATTTTGGCAGTAAATATTGTTCCTAACTCTCTTTCCCTTCTTTCTCTTTCCTGTGAATTACTAGTATGTCTTCACTAATTTCTAAGCCCATAAAAAAATTGGTTAAAAGGTACTAATCTGACAAAATAAATATAAACATATCAAATTAGGAAAAATTACAACAGAATCTTTTAACAAGTTTTAATAATCAATATCATAAGTGTAAGGTGATATCCTAGAGCTTTATTTAGCAAGTTGAAGGATGCAGACTGTCCCCAGCCCAGAGTACTGGCAGGAAGCAAGCAATCTAACACTCACACTCTGATGATAAAATTATCCTAACGAATCCTCCCCTAATCCTGAAATACACTGGAATGTACATCCTTTGGTCATCACACCACAGCCACAGTGAGCAGCACCCTCTGTATTGCTCCTTCCACATCTGGTCCTTCCTAAAGGGAAAACAATCCCTGTCCCCAAAGCCATGTGGGAGAGATTAATCAAGTGAGTCCAAAGAGGGAGTGGGATAAGGATATATAACTCTACATTGGCACTGTACTGTAATTTATAATTTCCTTCCATACATTCTATTTTTAGAGATTTAAATTTCTAATCTGCCTGTGCATCAGTTTTACATACTCTGTTAAGATATTTGCTGTCACTGTCCTTCTGCTAGTCAGCTTCACTTCTGTTTGCCTTTTTTAAAAAACATCTGCTTTACTGCCAACAGACCTAAAAACTCAGCTATGACCTTACCATCTCTGCTTAATAATAAAGTCCAGAATGAAGCCCAGATTCTTGTGTACAAAGCCTCCATAGCTGGAACCCTGCCTACTTTTCCAGTCTCATTTCTGCTACTGTTTGCTTTTTGTACATCAGCAACACATTTGCTTGCAGCACTGAATATATTACCTAATGCCATCTTTGCACATGCATATCTTTTGACCTTGATATTCCTTTTGACCTATTCCTCCTCTAAAGTCATTTCTAAAAAAATCTTTCCCCAACTACCCCATCCCCTTCATATAGATTTAATCACTTCTTCTAGACTAGTTTTGTATCTACTTTTACCTTTGTACATATAATTATCTATGTGTTTTTTAATCTTCCCCCACTATATTATAAATTCATTAAAGTAAGGACTTGATATATAGCAGGCACATAATGAAGACTGAACTATTAAGTACATAGAAGTTGTAGAAAAAAATATACAAAATAAGGACAAATGAAGAAGGGAAAGACAATGAGAAAGTAGCAAAATAAGGTGAGAAATAAAGACAGAAAATTAAGGAATATTGTTTCTAAAAAGAGGTGGGTTTTAGACATAGTATGTTAAAATATAAAGTATGAATATGTACTAATAAGCAAAATTGGGTAATGTTACATTTCATGATTGATTTACATAAAGGTCATTTAAATTATGTACCTGTGGAATGAGTGCTTAAAAGCCTAAATTCTTCAGCTTAACTGCCTGGGCTCATATTCCTTGCCTCAAAGCTAAGCTCATTTTAGCTTTGTAACCTTAGGCAAATTATTTTTCTATACCAGAGTTTCTTCATCTTTAGAACATAAATAATTATAGTACCTACCTCAAAAGGTTGTTGTAAGGATAAAATTATCAATATATGTAAATCGTTTAAAAACAATGCCTTGCACACAGTAAACAATAATTGTTGAGAGCTTTGGAAAATTGAACTCCTTTGGTTCAAGTTGAAGCCTTACTACAAATTAGGTGTGATATTTTAGGTAAGCTATTTCATTTTTCTGAGTCTCTATTTCTTTGTTCTTTTTCACAGATAGCTAGACTACATTTCCAGCTTCCTTGGTAGTTAGGTGAGGCCATGGGCCTGAGTTCTGGCTGTGGGCAGGAAGTTATGTGCACCTGTTCCGGGCCTATTCCTAAAAAAGCTCCAGTGCATGAGCTTTGTGTTCTTTCTCCTTTGCTGGCTTGACATAGGCATACATGTCAACTGTGGAAGCCACATGTTGAAGATACCAGGGCCACAGATAGAAGGAGTCTGAGTAATTCAGTTGTTGCTTGTCATAGAGCCACCTGCTAATCAGGAACTCTTGGTTTTAACTCTATGTAAGCAAAGAATTAAACTTCTACTAATTTGTTGAAATGTTGGTGTTTATCTCTGTAACAGCTAGTACTACCTAAATAACATACTTTATTTACAAAATGAGAATAATATTATGAAAATTAAACAGCACAGTACATGGCATGTAGTAACTATTCAAAAAATATCAGTTGCAGATTGACATTCCTAATCCAAAATCTGAAATCCAAAATCTGAAACTTTTTGAGTGTCAAAAAGTTTAAATAAACTAAATATCTAAGTTTAAAATATTAAATACTACTACTAAAAACTACAACATGATGCTCAAAGTACACACTCAAAGGAAATGCTTTTTGGAGCATTTTGGATTTTGTGATTTTCACATTAGGGATGCTCAACCATTAAGTATAATCTAAATATTCCAAAATTTGAAAAAAATCCAAAACTCGAAACATTTTTGGCCCAAAGCATTTTGAATAAGGAATACTCTACATGTATCACTATTCCTATTAAGTTCAAATTCAATAGCCATGTCTTATAAATTTGACCTTTCCCTCAAGATCCACTTAAAGTTTGATTACCGGGGAAACCATATTTCCAGCCCACACTGATCTTTCCTTATGTATGCCAGAATCATGTAAAATGTTTTGTTTAATGTCTCCTTTGTAAAATTACACATATTTAAGAATAGTAACATTACTACACTATCTTTTGTATCCTTCAACACTGAACTTATAGCTGGCTGACCATCAGGTCTATATGGTCGCAGACGGCCAGCCACCTGTTGGAGGGCCACGAGTGCTTGTCCTGAGGGACCATACTGCTTGCCTCAGCAGGCTAGAACAAAATGCTTGTTATTGTTGAATGAATGACTGACTGAATGAATGAAGGTAATTCAATTCAATTATGTTCCATGGTCATAAATCAGCTTTCTGGCTTTCAAATTCTTGTTACTATTCAAAATTAAGAGCATATTAAGGAGTGAGAAGCATCAGCAGAAATGTATTACCGATGAACAACTCCAGCACTACTGATGGTGCATCAGCAGCATGGTTATACCTTTGTGAATTGTTCTTCAACTAGGATTTAATAAGTCTTGAACTAGAATTTAGCAAGTCTACTGGAAATTAAAATGAAAGCTTTACCTCACCATGTTCAAGGAGCTGTTTTCTGGAATAAAACAAAAATATTATCTATTTACTGAATGTACATCATACTAAGTTATGTAAGAATAAGCTTCATTTTTTTGTTCTTATAATAGATTTTAAAAATTTGATTCTCTCTACTTAGGAATATAATAAAAATATTAGATAATAGACAATTTAAAAGCCATAATTTACAGTCATCCTATTTAAGACATGTCAAAAAGTCATTCTTTGGTTAACATAAAGTAGGTTTTACTGATCCATGGAGATTTAACTGCTGGAGGGATAAATTAATAGAAAGACTTTCTGTTAAATATTCAACCCACGAACAGCATATATAATACTTTAAATAACCACTGTTAGACTTTTGAGTTGTTTTCATTTTTCACAATTATAAAGAACATGAACATTCTTGTACATAAAACTTTCTCCCTTATTCGTGGATTTGCTTTCTACAATTTCAGTTACCTGTGGTTAGCCACAGATTGAAAATAGTAAATGGAAAATTCCAGAAATAAATAATTCATAAGCTTGAAATTGAGCATCCTCAGTAGCATGATGAAATCTCATGCCATCTCGCCCAGGATGTAAATCATCCCATTGTCCAGTGTTCCCACCCTGCAGATGCTCCCCAGCTACTAGTCACTCAGTAGCCATCTCGATTATTCTATCAACTGTGGTGGTATTTCAGTGTTTGTCTTCAATTCATACTTATTTGACTTAATAATGGCCCCAAAGTGTAAGAGTAGTGATGCTGGCAATTTGAATATGCCAAAGAAGAGCTGAAAACGCTTTAAGTGAAATGATGAAGTTCTTGTCTTATTAAGGCAAGAAAAAAAAATAATATGCTAAGGTTGCTGTGACTTATGGTAAGAATAAATTTTCTATCTCTGAAGTTGTAACGAAGAAAAAAGAAATTCATGCTAGTTTTGCTGTCACTCCTCAAATTGCAAAAGTTGTGGCCACAGTCCATGATAAGTTAAGATAGAATGGACATTAAATTTGTGGGTAGAAGACATAAACAGAAATATGTTCTGACTTAGGGTAATCAGGTATGGTATTATTAACATTATCCACTGGGGCCTTGGAACATATTGCCCACAGATAAGGGGGACCACTGTATAGCATGAGTAGTATAGATATAATTCTTATCCTCATCATGGAGCCTATCCTAGATTTATACAAGAGCTAGAAGACTGCCTTTTTAATTGTTCCATTGAAAAGACTGGGTATTTTATATTTTACAAAAGGCTTTATAGGATGCAGGGGTATTCTAATATGAATTGTAGGCGTGGAGAAAGAAATAAGACAGTGGGCAGAGTTCAAAGATACAAAGATCCATGGATTTTAAAAAGGGTGGCTGGGGGAAGACCTCAAGGATAGTAGTGGAGTCACCAAGTTACTCTGCCTCCACTGTAGCTCCTTCCCTGTGCATGCACTTAAGACAACAGGGTTGCTCCACTTTCCCTGCAATCTTCCAGTCACAACAGAATCCTGCAGTGTACTGTTCATGAAAGGAAGAAGCCTGGTAGGTAAGTAATTATTATAGTCACCAAGAACCCTGACAGTAACTACTGATAAAAATAAATCTAGTAGCTAATTTACAATATGAATGAATATACAACCAAATCATGAGACACAAAAAGCATAATGAGAAACACCAAAATGTCAAAATAAATAAGCAAAAAATAAAAAACCCTAAAACAAAAAAACCAAAACGAAACAAAACTAATGTCTCAGGAAGCACAGTTAAGACAAGAAATAAGAGAGAGAATTAAATGAAAGCTCCAATTTTTATCGTTTGAGAAATTTGAGAGGACACTGCATCCATATAGTAAGAAGAAGCTGCAATGAAAAGGAGTTTTCAGAAATTCTGAGAAAAACAGATTTGCTTTTAATTTAAAGCCTCAAAATACAGCTAATAACAGATAAAATATAAAAATAGTGTACTAGAGTATTTAGAATAGCACTATTAATTATGTGATATAACATGTAAATTCAAACTCCTCCAAAATAAAAAAAACATCTTTAAAACCCTCATGGAGCATTTATAAAAGCTAAACATTAATATCAATAAATCATAAAGGCAAAATATAAAAGAAACTAGTTAAAAATTTTAAGACATTATTCTAAATGATTTTTGATTAAATGATCAAAACTCAAATCACAGACTATACAGAAATACACATTAACGGGAACGCTACACCATGCATGGGATATAGTCTGAGTTGTCTTGAACAAAAAAAGTTATAATTTAAATGTGTTTATTACAAAACAATAATGATTGATAATAAATGAGCTGGACTTTAAACATAGAAAAACAAAAACATACCAAAAGAAAAAAGAAAAAAAAACATAAAAATATTAATAAAAGTAGAAATTAATAAAATGGAAAACAGCCTGGATAGATAAATAAAATCAAAAGCTGGTTCTTTGAAATGTCCAGAAAAGAATGACCTTTAATAAATCTAAATATGAAAAAAGATAAAAAATGCAAATCTAAATATGAAAAAAGATAAAAAATGCAAATCTAAATATGAAAAAAGATAAAAAATGCAAAATACAACATTAACATCGAGAAACATAACTACAAATACTGATGAAATTGTTTTAAAATAATTCCTTGCACAATTTATAATCTATATGAAATGGATTATTTTCTCTAAAAATATAAATCACAAAAAGTAACTTAAGAAGAACACCTGCATATACCTAATTGCTATATGTTTAAAAAAAAGCCAAAGAGCTGTTTTATAAGAAATGCTAAAAGGAGTTATTCAGTCTGAAAGAAAATGATGCTAATGAACAATAAAAAATCATCTGAAGGTATATAACTAACTGATAACAGTAAGTACACAAATACAGACTATTCTATTGCTGTAGTTGCAATGTATAAACCACTTATATCTTGAGTCGGAAGACTAAAACACAAACCTATCAAAAAATAACTATAACAACTTTTCATAAGATAGATAGTATAAAAAGATATCAATGGAAACAACAAAAAGTTAAAAAATGAAGGTGGATGATGGAATTAAACTGTAGAGTTTCTTTTAAATTTCTCTTTGTTTTTTGCAAACATAGTTGTCATCTGTTTAAAATAACTGGTTATAAAATGGTTTTTGCAAGCCTCATAGCAACCTCAAATCAAAAACCTACAACAGATACACAAAAAGTAAAATCAAGAAATTAAAATGTACTACCACAGAAAATCACTTTTACACAAAGGAAGACAGGAAGGAATGAATGAAAAGAGGACCACAAAACAACTAGAAATCAGATAACAACAAGTAAGTCCTTTATTATAAATAATACTGTTGAATGTAAATGGACTAAACTCTCCAAACAAAAGTCTTAGAGTAGCTGAGTAGATAAAAAAAAGTAAGAGCCAACTATATGGTGTCTATAAGAAACCCACTTCACCTCTAAAGACACACATAGACTGAAAATAAAGGGATAAAAAAGATGTCCCATGCAAATGGAAACCAAAAAAGAGCAGGGGTAAACTATACTTCTATTAAATAAAATAGATTTCAAGACATTGTAAAAAGAGACAAAGAAGGTCACTATATAATGATAAAGGAGTTGGAGTTCAAGACTTCAGTGGAACTGCAGATGGAGTGAAAAATAGCAAGAGAACTAGAATTAGAATTGGGGCATGAAGATGTGACTGAACTGCTGCAATCCTGAATAGATGATAACTGCTTCTTATGGATGATCAAAGAGAGTGGTTTCTTGAGATAGAGGCTATTCCTGGTGAAAATGCTATGAACATTTTTGAAGTGGCAAAAAAAGATTTAGAATATTGGAAAAACTTAGTTGACAAAGCAACAGCAGAGTTTGAGAAAACTGGCTCAAACTTTAAAAAAAGTTCTGTGGGCAAAATACCATTAAACAGTATCATAAGCTACAGATAAATGTTTTGTGAAGGGAAGAGTAAATAGATGTGGCAAATTTTGTTGCTGTCTTATTTTAACAAATTATCCCAGCCACCCCAACCTTCAGAAACCACCACCCTCTTCAGTCAGCAGCCCTCAATATCAAGGCAGGATACTCCATCAGCAAAATAATTACAACTTATTGAAGGTTCAGATGATTGTTAGCATTTTTTAGCAATAAAATGTTTTTAATTAAAGTTTGCACATTTTTAGACCTAATTCTATTATACACTTAATAGACCACATTATAGTGTAACTATAATTTTTATATGCACTAGAAAATCAAAAAAATCATGTGGCTTTCTTTATAGTGACATTTGCTTTATTGTTGTTGTAACTAAACTTGCAACATCTCCGAGGTATGCTTCTATACAGAAAACCCTACCAATTGCATCATGAAACTATTAGTGCTAATAAATTTATTTGATAAAGGTGCAGGATAAAAGTCAACATACAAAAATAAAAATTGCACTTTTATAAACTAACAATAAACTATGTGTAAAGAATATTCGAAAAACAGCCCCATTTATAATAACACCAAAAATAAATAAAGTATTTAGGAATAAACTTAAATAAGGAAGTGAAAAACTTGTTTTCTGAAAATGATAACACATTAATGAAGGAAATTAAAAAGATATAAATACCTGGAAAGATATCCCACTTGAATGAATTAGAAGACAATATTTTTAAAATGTCTATACTACCCCAAAAGGATTTATAGATTCAATACAATCTCTATCACAATCTCAATGGCATTTCTTGAAGAAGTAGAAAAAACAACTCTCTAGAATTCACATGGAACTGAAAAAGACCACGAATAACTAAATAAAGTTGAAGGCATCTCATGTTCTGACTTCAAAACAGAGTTAAAAATACAGTATTCAGGGCCGGGCGTGGTGGCTCACGCCTGTAATCCTAGCACTTTGGGAGGCCGAGGCGGGCGGATTGCTCAAGGTCAGGAGTTCGAAACCAGCCTGAGCGAGACCCCATCTCTACCAAAAATAGAAATAAATTAATTGACCAACTAAAAATATATATATACAAAAAATTAGCCGGGCATGGTGGCGCATGCCTGTAGTCCCAGCTACTCGGGAGGCTGAGGCAGTAGGATCGCTGAGCCCTGGAGATTGAGGTTGCTGTGAGCCAGGCTGACGCCACAGCACTCACTCTAGCCTGGGCAACAAAGTGAGACTCTGTCTCAAAAAAAAAAAAAAAAATACAGTATTCAAAACAGTATGGTGCTAACATAAAGATAGATATATAGACCAATGGTACAGAATAGAGAGCAGCCCATAAATAAGTCCACACATATATGACCAACTGATCTTCAACAATTATGCTAAGCCTACATAATGGGAAAAGATAATCTCCAGCAAATGGTATAATAAAACTAGCTATCCATGTGCAAAAGAATAAAACTGAGCCCTTTTCTGACACCATGTACAATAAAAATCAACTCAAAATGGATTGAAGACTTAAAGTTAAGATCTGAAACTCTAAAACTCCTAGAAGAAAACATAGGGGAAAAGCTACATGACATTTGCCTTAGCAATGATTTCATGGACACGATACCAAGAGCACAGACAACAAAAGCAAAAACAAACAAGTGAGACTACATCAAACTAAAAAGACCTCTGTACATAAAGGAAACAACAGAATAAAAAGTCAACCTATGGAATGGGAGAAAATATTTGCAAACTGTATACCTGATAAGAGGTTAATCTCTAAAATATTAATATATAAGAAACTCCAAAAATTAAATAGCAAAAATCTAATAACTCACAGTTACAAAATGAGCTAAGGACCTGAATAGACATTTCTCCAAAGAAGACACAGAAATGGCCAACAGGTATATGAAAAAATGTATAATGTCACTAACCATAAGGGAAATGCAAATCCAAACCACAAAGAGATTATTACTTCATACATGTCTGAGTGGCCATTATCAACAGAACAAAAGACAAGTATTAGCAAGGATCTGTAGAAATTGGAATCCTTACATACTATTGGTGAGAATGCAAATGATATAGTTGCTATAGAAAACAGTATGGAAGTTCATTAAACAATTAAAATAGAACTACCATAAGATCCAGCAATCCCATTTCTGGGTATTTATCCAAAAGAATTGAAACCAGGATCTTGAGGAGACACTTGTACTATCATGTTCATTGGAGGGCTATTCACAATAGTCAAGATATGGAAAAAACCTACATGTCTATCAACCAAGGAACAGATAAATAAAATGTGATACACACACACACACACACACACACACACACACACACACACACAATGGAATATTATTCATGCTTTAGAAAGAATGAAATTCTGCAATATGAGACAACATGGATGAACCTTGAGGACATTATGCTAAGTGAAATAAGACAGTCATATAAAGACAAATACTGCATAATGCCACTTATATGAGGTATCTAAAATAGTCAAATTCATGAAATCAAAGAGTGGAAAGTTGGGTACCAAGAGCTAGCGTGAGGGGGAAATGGGGAATTACTAATTAATAGGCATAAAGTTTCAGTTAAGCAATATGAGTAAGTTCTAGAGATCTACTGTACAACATTGTATCTATGGTCCACAATACTATATTGTGCACTTAACAATTTGTTAAGAGGATAGATCACATGTTAAGTATTCTTAACACAATAAACAAAAGAAACTTATTAGTGTAATTATTCATAAAGGAGAAAACCATATAATGATCTCCAAAATATTTTTAATGCCAGCTTTTAAAATCCAACATCTATTTTATAGCTTTAATGGGCTATAATTCTTACACCATATACTTTCAACATCCATTTTTAATTTAAAAATTATTTTGGTTTATATGGACTGAAAGGAAACTTTCTTCACTAAATAAAAGCTGTTACATAATAATAGCAAATGAAATAGTGAGCCACTAAAGGCATTCTTCATCTTGGAGTCAGAAACAAAATAAGGGCAAAGCAATCACTGTAATTCAAACTTGTTCTGGAAGTTCTACCCAATACATAAGACAAGGAAAATAAAGAAGTATAATTATTAAAGTATTCTCATTACTTCTAGATTATATGATAACCTGCCTAGAAAAGCTAGAGAATCATTTGAAAACTACTAGAATTGAAAAGAAAGTTTGGTAATGTGGCTGAATACAAAAGTAATGCAAAAAATCAAACAGCTTTCCTAAAAACTAGCAATGACAAATTGGCAAATATGCTTAGTAATATAAAAAGATATCATTTTCAACAGAAAAAGGAAAAAACATAAAATCCATATTTAAAAAACCATAGTAGGACTCATAGGGAAAAAAACTATAAAGTTTTACTAAAGTATAACAATTAGAACAATAAAAATAATGCTAACACTCAAATGTTTGTTCTGTCAGTAATTCTAAGCACTTTTATATGCATTAACTCTTCTTATATGTGGTCACTTGTGAGGTCAATGTTATTATCCCCATTTTATGGATGATGAAACTGGGGCACAAAGACAAAGGAGTTAAGTGACTTGCCCAGTCTAATAAGGAGAGATATGTCATACTCCTGGGATAGAGACTCAATCTTATAAAGATGAAGCTCTCTTTGAATTAATCTGAAGCAATTCCAATGGACTTCGTTGGGTGAGCAGAGTGGGGAGGATTCTAAGCACATTTATTCCAAGGTTTACCTGGAAAAGTAAATGCAAGCAAATATGAAAAATGATAACAATAAAGGGAGGATTGGAATTGTGTTGCTCTTGGTCAGAAACAAATAGATCAATATAAGAGAATCTAAAACAGACTGAAGTACATATGAGAATTAATTGGTAAGTGATAAAAACTGACATTTCAAATGAATGAAAGATTATGCAATATTGTATTTGGACAATACCTCATTTGAGGGGATAAACAGTAGAATCCTATATGTCACCGTACTAGAAAATTAATGCAAGAGTGATGAATGAACTATATATGCACAATAGAAAAGTATGAAAGAAAATATGGAAAAATATTTTAATGTTTTTGAGGTAGGGAAGTGTTTCCAAGCAACATACAAACACAGAAAACAAAATGTATTGTCATGATCGTATAAAGTTCTACAAAGCAAACTATAAATTGAAATCTTGGAAGAAACTGTTAAGATACACAATAGACAAAAGGTTACTATCTATGGAAAAACCCCTACAAATACTAAAAATCAATTTTGTAAAGGTCAAGAAGAAATAAAATAGTCAACATATGAAAAGAGGCAAAACTTCACTGATAAAGAATTATTTTAAAAAGACTTTTTTTTAACTTGCAATAAGTTAAAAGTGTGATAACATTGATGATTGTAGAGATGCAGGGAAATGGACATTCTCATCATTATAATTTCTCAGTATTTATAAAATTATGATCTAGCAATTCTAATTTAAATATTCTGTTATAGAAATACTAGAATAAGTGTGCAAAGATAAGTATATCTTTGCACAAGGATGTTGATTACTTATAACACTGGTTGTTATGATAAAAGTTAAATATAATCTAAATATTATATGGGAATGGCTAAATACATGGTGGTCACTCGTGATGGTGAACAATAAAACCCTAAAACTATTAAAAAGTATGGGGAATATCAAGGCAGATGCTCAAGAAACCCTGTTGAATACAAGTAACAAGTTACAGAATAATAAGAATATGAGATTTCATTTTTTAAAAAATTATGTTTCTGTATGTGTTTTCTAGAATGATACATACGAAGCCTGCTTATAATCAGTATCTCTGAGGAGTAGATCTAAGGGAGGGGAACATTCCCTCTTTTCTTGATGCACTGTTTACTTTAATGTACTACTATAAGTATGTACAGTATTTTTTGTGTTATTTAAAGGACCCCTACCTCCCCAGGCCTGTCACTTTCAGGTACGTGATCAACAGGAAAGACTTCCTTACCCTGATCTAAGAATCTTCCCATTGGCCCCCTTAAGTATGTCCTCTTCCACATTATACTCTCTCAAATAAATGAAGACAGTTGCCATGTACTCCTTAATCTTCTATTATTCAATTAAATACCCCAAGTCCCTTCATATATTCCTTATGTAAATAATTTTCAGGGTTCTAAATACACTCTTTAGAATGTCAAGACATATTCCCGTCTAACTAGAACAACACAGAACCAGTCTATTATCCCCCTTATATTGGAAATGATTTTAACAAATACACTTAAGATCTTAAGTAGCTCTTCTGACAAAACTGTTTATTAAAAATGCATGCATGGGGTACATATGAGGGTCATGGAAACTCTCTGTACTATCTCCACAATTACTCTATAAATCTAAAACTGTTCTAAGGGATAAAAACCATTAAATAAAATCAACGTATCTACAAATATACAATGTAATTTGAGATAAGATTTCCCTTGAAGAAAGTTTTCTTTATAATTTACTTCTTTTGTCCTGTAGCAATTTATGTGATTTATATGAGTCATGTTATATTTTGCTGGCATCTATTTATGCCTTAATTCTAGTAACTTTATCAACACTATCAAAAAGTATGATATAACAAATGGTTTTAACAATAAATATAGAAAAATATTTCAAAAATATTCAGAAAAACAAATAATTATGCTTTCTTGGAATGTTAAAAAAAGGAAAAAAATTGCCAAAATAAAACTTTAGTTTACTTATGTTAAATTCTAGTGATACATTAAAATTAAACTAAATCAACTTAAGCATTGACTTAGTTCACAAATATAAATATTTCCAAAACAAGTCCAAATACACAAAAAAATCCATGAAAATAATAGTTTTTTTTTGATGATAACATCTAAGTTTGGTTCATATCGCCTCTCTTAATCACAATGCTGAAGCTTAACGTATATTCATTTGAAAAACATTACAGTAAGTTATTTAATAATCAAATATAGTATGTTTTAAAAACTATTACATAATTACCTTAGATAAGTGTTTGTAGATAAAACACATAAAATATCACGAACAGTCTGTGAACAGAACCAAATCAATGTAACTTTTCTCAGGAATGTTGTGACATTTAAGACACTTTGATTCATTAATACAAATATCCCACCCAGTAAAGAAGTATTTTTTAATGTTTAAGTGAATCCTCAAGAACAGTTTAGTCCCAAGATCTGCCCCAGACAAATAACTTCTTTTAGTAATAACTTCCCCTTCTATAAAAACAGTGTTGGAGTAGATCTTTAAGCTGTTCACTTGGAGAATCTGTGGCCCTCCTGATTCCCAAGTGCAGCCCCTTGACAGAATCCAAACTTTACAGAACAAATCCCTTTATTAAAAGAATTTGTTCTGTAAAATTTGGATTCAGTCAAAAGGCCATACTCAAGAATGCAGAAGGCCACATGTGGCTCCAGGGCCGCAGATCCCCCAGCATGTGTTTATATATGGATAACTACTACGAGTGTTGTGAGTTTACATTTTTACTGGGAAAGGGAGTAGAGTGAGGGGGGGGGGTAGGCATGCACAAAGGAGGCTGCCTCCTCCATGTACTTTTAGAGATTATTTTATGTAAACCTCCCAAGCAAATTAATAATACCTATACATCTATCCATTTACCTACACACATCTATATTCCTAGTTCACTCAAAACTTCATATTATCAAATTAATTATGGGCTTATCTGCTTCCCTGATCTCTGTTTTAATCTGACATGGCTGATACAGAAGGCTTAAGAGCACTCATCAAGATATACCAAATGATGGTGAGGATGTGAGAAAGGGAGAAGTGGAAGGTGAATATGGCAGCTAAATTTGGTCAAGAGGCTTGGGCAGCAATCGTGTGCAACTTAACTGGTAACACAAAAAATTTATGGGTGACTGAAAAATTTGTACTCTGCATGATATGTATTTTATAAATCAAATGTTGAAAAAGATGGAATTTGGATTGTAATTTAAAATTAACTTTTAAGTTTAGAATTTTTAACTTTTCTCATTGACTCGAGAACATCCTTCATAGAAAAATGTTTCAAATTCCATAGAAACTGATACATAATGCTATCACAATTTATTATTCATGAAGTTTCACAAATGAGATTCTAGACACATGTGCAAGCAGATGCCAATATGAGGGGGCATGTTCATTTATAGAAGCTTAAGATTCAATACTGTCACAGGAAAGTCATACTGGATATGCCTTCCTTTTTTCTTTACCAGAAGTGACTTTACACAAGGAAAAATTTAACTGCTCATCAGAAGTATCCTTGAGGTGAAAAATAAGCCACAATAGGACAAATAAAGACATAAAGATTGAGATTTATAAGGAAGTCTTGAGAAAGGAGTGAAGCTTTGGTGGCTGCCGGGATAGGCAAACACATATGTGGCTTATGTGCCTGCCAGTGCACATACATAGTTTCAGCTGTGGTGTGTTTGGGGACTAATTGAGTATTTCTAAGTCTTGGATTTTAATTTTAAAAATATAGCAATAGCAGATCTAGCTATAATTTTCTCCCATGCCAGTTGTTTCTCCATTGAATAGCTAATTCATGTATTAGCCCCTCTCAATGGAATCCTATAAGAATAGGCCACATTTGGCCGTGCCAGAACAGAAACACACCAGTGGAGAAAATCTTCAACCTGAGCTGGGAGGGGCTCAGGGGTTGGAGATTGGCAAACTTGTTCACACTTCACCCATTCCTTCTTGTTTCCTGTATCCTGACTCTCCAAAGGGTCCCTAGGGAACTGAATCAAGGGTGAAACAACAGAGATGTAGAGGGAGATATCTTTCTCACTCCTAAATTATTTATACATTATGTGAAAACAAAGGACTGAGAAATATGGGAACTGGAATTACATAAAGAAAGTACATAATTTCACATTAAATACAGAAAACTCATTTCAATAGAACCACAGCTGGTATGGTGGTAGAGAAATCACATTACTGTTATCTGCTTAAAAGTATAAGATAAATACACACCGACTTAAGGCAAGACAACTTGTAAACAATATAAATAAAGATGGTTCAAAATTGTTAGAAATCCAAGGACCCACTGTCTTTACTCATGCTTTTGTTAATAGATAAACCACATCCAGAACAAAAGTATCTGCCAGTGGTATTTTATTTTTTAAATTTTTTGACTACCTGGAGAATGTCAGTGGTATTTTAAAGATTATTTCTTCTATTGTGAAAACAGTGAATATATATAAAATTATCTTTAAATGGTTATACAAATTTTTTCTGTGAATGTCTACTCAAAATAGATCAAGACTTCTTTGTGCTGTATATTTGAAAGGTACTAAAGTTGTCATTGTACTTTTCTTTTATAGTACCTATAATAATTGTAGTTCTTTAGTCATTTGTGTGATTGATTACTTGTTTAATGTTTGCAAACTGCCCCCCTATAATCCAGGACTATAAATTGAAGACAGAGGTGGCCATGTTTTATTTGTCCCAATATATCTACACTGTTAATATGGTCCTTGGTACATAGTGAGTTATTAATATATTTTGAAAGAATAAATAATATTAATAACTGTTATAATGTAGCTTTCTAAAAAACCCATATACTAGTTCATATGAATGACAAACAAATTTTTAGAGAGGGAAAGAGTTTACCCCAAAAATAAGATGGAATTCTGAGCAATTAGCATGAATCTATTATAGTCTTTATCTTGAATCCAAAAATAAGTAATAAATTTTAAAAAATACCTTTTTAAAGATAAAACAAGTAATCACCATAACAACTGGAAGTAATAATGTCTTTGTGTATCTCAGTGGAGTCTGAAATATAGCAAATTATTTAAAATTATTATTTATTGAATTTTACATTAAATTAGCAAAACTCTATGTCAGACTGACTGCCATGATAAAATTTCTTAAAGGTAAAAGTCTTCATCATTAACAGAATATGTATTCATCAATTTCTACATTCTACTATAAGAATTAAAATTACAAAAATAGTTATAACAAGTATTCAAAAAAATTAATGATAAAAACTATTAAACCTGGAATTAGTCTTTTTTCCCTTTCTTTCAGTTTTGTTTTTATTTATATAATATTAACTTTTAAAATGTGTATTTACTGATCCCTAGGTCCTACATCATTATTTTCTGTGCTGTTTAGTTCCATTATTTTTATTAGTGAAGCCAGAGCTAATGAGGAAGAAAGCTAACCAAAGTAATTACTGAAAGTTTGAGTAAGTACAGAATTAATGTCAGCTAAATAATTCTCATGACCTATTATTGTGAGAGTGATTTGCCATATAACTAAATTATATATTTCTTGAAAGCAGAAACCAAGTCTTTTTCTTCTTTGTAGTCCCATAACATACTGCCTCACAGATAAGGAGTGGTCAATAACAAATTTTAAATTAATAGATGACTGGTTGGACAGATAAGAGAATAATGTAAAATTTAATTATATATTTACCACTAATTTAGAATTCATAACTATTAGATAAGAACTAATCCACTGACAACTTCTTCATGTTCTATGAAGAAAAAATTAAGCTGCAGATAGAGAAAAGAGCACTGGATTGGGAGTTTTAGAATCTATTAGAATCCATATCTCAATGTTGGCTTCAGTGTATATTTTAGGCAAATCTTTTAAGCTGTATTTTATTTGCAAATGAAAGAATTATACTACATGGTCTCTAAGATACCTTCTTGATCTTGTGCTCCAGGATTCTACAAAGAGGCAAATATTTTAAAGCTTAACAACAAGAGCTTTTTAAAAGGTAATATGATGCATTTCTATAACTTAAAAGGGATTTTATGTTTTCATTAAAACCAATTAGTAATACACCTTTCTTGTCAATATCATGTTTAAAATTTTCATGATATTTGGGGTATTAAATGTAATAAAGCTAAGTTTCTTAAACATAAATAAGAATTTGAATTTCATTTTCCTGAATGGTCCCATATTCTAAGTGGCCTAGATTATTTAAAGTAATTGATATGTAATAATAGTAATTATTATGGGCCATATATTATATTAAGTATTCTTCCTGGATTATCTTATTGAACCATCATCAATAACTCTTTAAGATAAGAGCTATTATTTATTGACGTTATAGATAAATAAAACAGGCGAGGAAAGCCATATGATTAGCAAAAGTTATAGTAAAAAATGATAAAGTGAGTGTTTCTGAGTAAAAATTTTGAGTTTTAGATTGAAAGAGCAAAAACTTATTATTCCTGTAGAGAAATAAGAAATAAAGAAACATTCATACCGCTTTTTCCATGAAGTCAAATTCAGGAGCACAGGTGTATATTAAGGTATCAAAGTCTGTGTACCTTAAGATTCTAGCTGCTATAAGGTCACTGAGGCGAATCTTGAAGAAAATAAAGTAAAATGAATTAAAAGTACACAAATAATTGTAGTCAGTAATTGGTTTGATATAAGGATAACGAAGTTCATAGAGTAGATAAATCTAAGGTACATAGACATCTCTCAAAGAAAACAAAAATCTACAATGAACCAAATGTACTATGTGCTGACTTACTAAGATAACCGAAAATAAAGAGAAATATTAAGAAAAATGAAAAGTAGAAAGAGGTAAAAAAACAATAAACATATAAGATAAAGAGGGAGCTTAAATCATTTGCTGGGAAGAAATCTCCATGCAGTTACCATGAAAAAGCATTTTATTTAGCCCCTCTCTCCATACATTGTAAGTTATAAACAAACTTTCTATACATTGTCATTTTCACAAAGCTTCATACACTGATTATAATGTTTGGTACTTGATATTTTCTTCTATACATACATTCAAGCTAATAAATATGAGAGCTGATTCTCATAAGAATTTCAACAACTACACATACCACTTATAGTTACTTGATCTCAAAGGCCTTAAAAATAAACACCAAAAGCTAAACCCATTGTAGAACTCTTATTTTCTACTGATTATTTACTACCACTTATTGGTGAGACAATTATGTTTCCACTGCATTCTCACACGGCCAGAAAAATAAAAATATTTGGCATGTAAAATCTTAATTCAAATTATTTAATAGGGACAGAAGTTATTTTATAACAAGTTTGATAATTATCAGTGGTTTTCATTCATTCATTGTTTCTCTTATCTGCCAGTACTAAAGGACAATTTAGAGTTGCACTTCAGTTTTCTAATTTAGAGTAGTCCTAGTGACTAAGAATAATTTGACCAAAAGCCACTATAATTTAAGTCCTTCTCATAGCTGTCACATAAAGGAAGTCACTTAGGACCACCAGTGGGGTGTGTGGGTGTTTCTTTTAAGATTTAAACAGCTAGGTGGCAATGTGGAGTAAGACAAGAAACAAAATCACAGACTAGCTTAATAGATAAATAAATAATTTAGAAAGTCTAAACAAAGTTCATCATAAAATATATATATACTACAAAATAAAATGTTAAGAACAATTAAAGGGGAAAGAAAAAAGAGAAATATGTCAGACATACTAAACGACAATAGCCAACAAACAAACCTAATAAACCACTATACAAAACTAGAAATGAATGGCAAATAAATGCTTACATTTAGAAATTTTATCTGGCATAAACACTTATTTATGTTTTATTGAATAGTGATAGCACTTGATCTTTTAGGGGGAGTACTATAATTCCTTGCTAAGTTAATATAATTTCATCATCTGACAGGGCCCTATATGCATAGCACAATACACTCAAGTATGCTTATTTCTAAAAAGAAAGTGCTAGAAAGCCAAAGTAAATTCATGCACTGTTTTCTATTCCTTTATCTAGTTAGTTAAGTAGGGACCTACAGCTTGAAAAGGGCCATTGTTTAAGACATTAGCCTTAAAACAAACAAAAATATCACACAGAGAGAGATATTCTAGAAAATGAAAAGACAGAGATTTTTACCATTCTTTTTTTATATAACAAGAAAGGCCTTAAAGGTAGCAAATTATATCTTAATTTTAGTCTATATTTATAAATAACTCTGTATTGAAATTTATAAATAGTTCTTTATTTCAAAGCTGAGGACAGGTTTCTTATGTTAACATCTGCAATAAAGGGATTATTTGTATTTTAACTGAAATATAAAAAAATAAATAATCAACAAATTATTAGTTTTCCCCCAAAGACTAAGAATTAACTCATACACTTTGTTCTTGCCAGGTCACAAAAATCACTGAACTGCAGGATTTTATTACTCAGTCTGGCAATAACTGGCTTGAGGATCTTAAAGAAGGCACTTGCCCTCTGTAAAACGAAAAGAAGAGAATAAATAGTTCCTAAATTTTCATCCAGCTACATGTTTATAAGAACTTTTATGTTTTAACTATAAAATACTTACGTGGTCTGAAACGCCTAAGATTTTAGATGTCAGAAATTTCAAAGTGATTGTTCCAGACCACCAAGCACAACCTTGAATTAGCTGGAAAATATAACAGCAGTCCAGTATTACAAATTATCAATTACCCAGTTAAAACATTCAGTTATACCTACAAATAGCATAGGAAAACTTTAATCATGTGAAGTATATTACTGAGGTATATATAGTGATATCTACAAAAAGAGATGTCTTTTAGAAAATTTTTCTTAAAGGAAAATAATTGAAACTGCTATAAAATATATAAGAAGACTAAATTCTACACATCTTAAATCTAAAGAAAGTTTTTAAAACTTATTTCTTTTCAAATTCTGTTAAGAAAAAAGAAGATTTATGTTTGTTTCCAAATATTATTTTTCAGCTAAAAATCCATTTCTCAAAACACTACATTAAAAGCTCTTCTGCCACTCTTGTAGAAGTATAATTATATGAGCCCTCCGTCAAGAAAATAAAATTTTAAATTTGAAAATTTAAGCTTTCCTTTTAAAAAAGAAAACTATGAACTAAAAGTAGCAAGGAGGCTCCTGTTTGTTTTTGGTTTATTTTTTTGGATAACTTCGATTAAAAAGGGAACAAATGTGGACTTCTGGGTAGCCTAAGGAAAATGATAGCAGCCTAAGTTCATATCTCTCCATATATCAACCAACAAATAGAACAATACAACCACACATACAAACAACAGATAACAGTAAAAACTTCAATTACCTGTAAATAGGAAAGAACAAATATTTCAAAGGTATACCTTAAGTTCCTGACCTAAGCCTTTGCACAGAATGAGGAGAAACCCATGAAACTATACAGAAGCAAGAAGAGGAAAGGTGAGGGGCCCAGAATTGAACTAAAATAATTGGAGAAAGAGAAAAGCCCACCAAAGTATAAAAAGAAGCCTGGTAGATTGACGAGTGTGCTACAGAGCAGGGATCTAAGAGTATGCAGGATAAAAAGTACTGATGTCAGAAAGGAAAGGCATCACTTCTACAAAGAAGAGAGAATAAAAAGAGAGAGTGAGGGAAAATTTGTTTCCAGCACAGCAAATGAGAACCAAAAAAAAAAAAAAAAAAAAAAAAAAAAAATCAAATCAAGGCAATTAATTACTGCTGCCACCACAAAAAGAAAACACAAGGAAAAAAAATATTCATTAAAAAAAACCCATGCTACATTGATAGAAGAGGCTTCACTTGGACTAGAAAACATCAACCCTGCCAACAAAATAATCAGATAAAAGGTGCCTATATATCTATACAAAGCTTCTGTAAGAAAATATTGAGAGTCAAACATTTCAACTGATGAAATCCATACTACGGAACGATAAAATCTCACAAAGCAGAAGACTATTATGCATAACTAGAAGCTGAATTAAATATTCTCAAATAACCATTCAGAGATATAAACAAGCAACTTAAATGAGAAACTCAGAAATTAAAAACAGAAATGGAAAAAAAAACAAAGAAATAAAAAGTTTATTCAACACAGAAAAGAAATGAAAGAAAAGGAGAATATTTTCAAAAAATGAAAACTAAATCATGATGATTAAAGAAGAGACTCAGCTAAGTCTTTAATAAAGACATTGAAGTAAAAGCAGTAAAATAATCACAAAGAACAAAAATGAGATTAGAGAAAGAAGTAAAATGAATCAGAGAAAGAGATAGACATGTAAGACAGGCACATACTTATAAATGGAGTCCCTGCAAAAGAAAAAGCAGCGAATCAGAACTAGTATTTAAATTACTATACAAGAAAACTTTTCAGAAATAAAAGAAAACCTGAATCTACATTTGGAATGTTGAAAAGAACCCATTAGGTCCTGCAAAAATTAATCTGGTATGGTAAACTAACTTAAGACATATGAAAAAGTTATTAAAAATGAAGAAAAATTTCTTAGAACCTCCAGGCACAAAAGTCACATAACTTACAGGGGCAAGAGAATTTGGCTAGCATCAGACTTGTTAAAAGAAACACACAGTCAAGGCAACAGCATAGAAGCATTTTCAAGAAACTCAAGAAAATGAGAACCAAGGACCTTAAATCCAGCCAATCTGTCATTCAAGTATAAAAGTTATAGATATGATATTGTATCTAGAAAACCCCAAGGATTCAACCAAGAAACTCCTGGAACTGATCAATGAATTTAGTAAAGTCTCAGGATACAAAATTAATACACAGAAATCAGAGGCATTCATATACGCCAACAACAATCTAATTGAGAACCAAATCAAAGACTCAATTCCCTTCACAATAGCAACAAAGAAATTAAAGTACCTAGGAATATATTTAACCAAAGAGGTAAAAGACCTCTACAGGGAGAACTATGAAACACTGAGGAAGGAAATAGCAGAGGATGTAAACAGATGGAAATCCATACCATGCTCGTGGATCGGCAGACTCAATATCATCAAAATGTCTATACTACCCAAACTGATCTACAGATTCAATGCAATACCTATTAAAATCCCATCAGCATTCTTCACAGATATAGAAAAAATAATTTTACGCTTCGTATGGAACCAAAGAAGACCCTGAATATCAAGAGCAATTCTAGGCAACAAAAACAAAATGGGAGGCATTAATATGCCAGATATCAAATTATACTACAAAGCTGTAGTAATTAAAACAATATGGTATTGGCACAAAAACAGGAATATTGACCAGTGGAACAGATGTGAGAATCCTGATATAAAACCATCCTCATATAGCCATCTCATCTTTGACAAAGCAGACAAAAACATACGCTGGGGAAAAGAATCCCTCTTCAATAAATGGTGCTGGGAAAACTGGATAGCCACCTGTAGAAGGCTAAAACAGGACCCACACCTTTCACCTCTCACAAAAACCAACTCACGCTGGATAACAGACTTAAACCTAAGGTATGAAACTATTAGAACTCTAGAGGAAAAAGTTGGAAACACTCTCCTAGACATCGGCCTGGGCAAAGAGTTTATGAAGAAGTCCCCAAAGGCAATCACAGCAGCAACAAAAATAAATAAATGGGACATGATCAAACTACAAAGCTTCTGCACAGCCAAAGAAATAGTCATGAAAGTAAACAGACAACCTACAGAATGGGAGAAAATTTTTGCATCCTATGCATCCAATAAGGGACTGATAACTAGAATATACTTAGAACTCACGAAAATTAGGAAGAAAAAATCAAATAACCCCATTAAAAAGTGGGCAAAGGACTTGAACAGAAATTTATCTAAAGAAGACAGAAGAATGGCCAGCAAACATATGAAGAAATGCTCAACATCTCTAATCATCAGGGAAATGCAAATCAAAACCACAATGAGATATCACTTAACCCCAGTGAGAATGGCCTTTATCAAAAAATCTCCAAACAATAAATGCTGGCGTGGTTGCGGAGAGAGAGGAACACTCCTACACTGCTGGTGGGACTGCAAACTAGTTCAACCTCTGTGGAAAGCAATATGGAGATACCTTAAAGCGATACAAGTGAATCTACCATTTGATCCAGCAATCCCATTGCTGGGCATCTACCCAAATGATCCAGTGACACTCTACAAAAAAGACACCTGCACTCGAATGTTTATAGCAGCACAATTCATAATTGCAAGGCTGTGGAAACAGCCCAAGTGCCCATCAATCAAAGAATGGATTAATAAAATGTGGTATATGTACACCATGGAGTACTATTCAGCTCTAAGAAACAATGGTGATATAGCACACCTTATATTTTCCTGGTTAGAGCTGGAACCCATACTACTAAGTGAAGTATCCCAAGAATGGAAAAACAAGCACCAGATATATTCTCCAGCAAACTGGTATTAACTGAGTAGCACCTAAGTGGACACATAGGTGCTACAGTAATAGGGTATTGGGCAGGTGGGAGGGGGGAGGGGGGCGGGTATATACATACATAGTGAGTGAGATGTGCACCATCTGGGGGATGGTCATGATGGAGACTCAGACTTTTGGGGGGAGGGGGGGAAATGGGCATTTATTGAAACTTTAAAATCTGTACCCCCATAATATGCCAAAATAAAAAAAATAATTAAAAAAAAAAGTTATAGAAAAACAGTTTTGAATCTGCAATAATTGAGGAAATATTAACTTTTCTAAATATAAAAAAGTTAAAAATTGAAGAGAATCATGTAGAGAAACAAAATATAATAAAATACAAATAAAATTTATAACAAAGATTTTCAAACCACCTCACAAAGCAAAGCAAGACCCAACCTATCCTATATAGAAGAGACAAACTAAAACAAATTCAGAAGGTAAAAAACAACAAAAAAACAGCAACAATGTACCAGGCAAATAAAATTTCCATATTAGAAACTAAGGAATACATTTAAAGCAATGACAAAAAGAAAATTCATGGCCTCCAAAACTTAAATCAATAAAAATGAAGGAGTAAAAATAAATGAATTAAATCTTTGCATGAAAAATCTAGGTAAAGAATAATAAAACCAATAAAATCACACAAAAGGAAATATTCATTAGAAGAATAGTCTGTCTACTCCATGTGTATATATTTTGTTGTTTCTTTTAAATTTCTTTCTTATATTCTAAGATTCTTTTATCATTTTTCTGTTTCAAGAACTTTATTCTTTAAAGATTTCTCAGCTAGCAACAGATTCTCTTAGTTTTCCTTGATCTGAGAATGTTTTTATTTCCCCTTTGTTCCCAAAGGATACTTTCACTGGATGTATTTCATCCTGACAAATGTTGTGCCACAACCTTCTGGCCTCCGTAATTACAGAGGAGTCTACTCTAATTAAAATCAGTTTTGCCCTATAGGTTAATGTGTCATTCCTCTCTGTCTGCTTCAAGACTTTTTCTTTATTTTTAGTTTTCATAAATTTAATTACGGTGTATCTTGGCATGGGTTCATTGGGTTTGTCTTACTTGGGAATTGCTCAGTTTCTTGACCCTGCAGGTTTATGTCATTTGCCAAATTTGGGGAGTTTTTAGCTATCACTTTTTCAAATACTTTTTGGTCCCGCTCTTTTTTTCCATTCCTTCTAAAATTTTGATGATACAAATATTAGATCTTTTGTTATTGCCCCACAGGTCCCTAAGACTCTGTCATTTTTTTCCAGTCTATTTTTTCTCAGTTTAAATAGGGTAATTTCTACAAAATTATGCTATCTACAAGTCCACTGATTGCTTCCTCTGTCATATTCACTCTGCTATCAAGCCCATTTACTGAGATTTTATTTCAGCTATTGTATTTTTCAGTTCTGTAATCTCTAAGTTGTTTTATTTATTTTTTTAGTTTCTATTTTTTTGGTGAGATTTTCTAATTGTTTCATTTGCTTCCAGAGTATTTAAAATTGCTCACTGAAGTATTTTTATGACTGTTTTAAAACCATTTGCAAATAATCCCAACGTACTATTCATCTCAGTGTTGGCATCTGTTGATTCTCTTTTCTCATTCAAGTTGTTCTTTTCTTTATTCTTGCTATGACAGTTTTCTACTGTCCTGTACATTTGGATATAATGTGGGAGACTGTGGATCCTATTTTATTATTCCATTTTAGCATAAAGTCACCTTATTTAGGTTTAACATACAAGTGCTGGCCTACCTCTGTATACCACAGGCACAACAATTTAGTTTTCAGAGTCTTTGCTGTGCTATTCTGGTCAGCTTAACTCACCGGGTGCTTAGTATTCCATCTCAGGCCCCATTTTAGCTGCCCAAGGGGAGAAAACACATTTCCTAAGTTTTGTTGCTATTAGGTGGAGGGTGAAAGATGCCAGGCTGTTGGGGAAAGAGAGCTCTTTTCTGGCCTGACTGATGTGGGCAGGGCTCTTGTTCACTTGTTCGATCCCTTCTGGCACTCATTACGTGGGCAGCCTCCCTGGTGGGAGACAGTAGATACCAGACCCATAAGATGTAGAGTATTTTCCTGGACCCACTCTCCAAGAGCCTTTGTGCCACTGGATGAAGTTTTAGGAGATGGCACCCCATTGTGTTTTTCTTTGAGTCCTAGGGTACCCAGATAGCCTGCCTTTCTATAGCACTGGACTGGACTTGGAGCTCTAGTTATGAAATAATGATTGCATAAATACACATGTTTGCATGCGCATATGTACAGTGAAAGGGCCTAGAAGCAAGGACACATTGGAAGCAATGAATATACCTACCACTCAGGTCTTAGTTTCTAAACACCTTTTCCGCTTAAAAGTAACCAGAGATCCTTGGAAAAACTCCTAGTTCTAGGGCTCGGGCAAGGAACATCAAGATGAGCCTGGAGCATCTTTTTGAGCCATAATATAAGGAAGTACTAAATAATTTATAAAGATGTGTCAAAAGGATAAGGGATCCAGCATCAAACATATTCACAATCGCTAACTCTAGAACTAATATTTGTGTATAATGTGAGTTTTCCCCATAGACACAATAAATTGTTCCAGCATCATTCATTGAAAAGTGACCTAAAGGCAATCTTAGTAGAACTGTTTTGCATCTAAACATTAACTGAGGAGAACTGACATTATATGAATCTTCATACACATAAACATTATTTATTTTTCCATTTATTATTTATTGGCTATTATGTCTTAAGAATTTTTAAATAAATTTCCTCATACAAATATTGTATGTATTTTGTTATTATGCTAAGAGTTTTAATCATAAATAGTTGTTCAATTTTATCAATTTCAATTTCTACATCTAATGAGGTGACAAGGTATTTTTCTCCTTTAATCTGTTAGTGTGGTAATTTATATTTATAAATTTTCTAGAAACACCTTTGCATTCCTGGAATAAAGACAATTTTATCACAAATGGATAATCTTCATCATATATATGGCTGTTCTTGAATTACTAATCTTTTTTATTTTTATATCTATGGAATGTTTTTAATCTAGGTGATATTTTAAATCTATGTTTTGGATTAAGAATGGCCTTTCTCATACTATCCTTATCCGGCCTTAATATTGAGCTCTTGATTACAACACGGGTTCCCTTTCTCCTCTTATAAGGATTCTCATGCCTATGATACAAATAAAGCTCTCCTTTGTAAATTTCAGCATGTGCTCAGTTCAATAATTACCTTGCAATAAAAAATCAGACTCTCCCATTAAACAATGAATTTGTGCTTAGTGAAGGAAACTATAAAGTCAATCATTTAGTCCTAAAATTATCTTGTTCAGGTTCTATGTAATAAATATTTATCTTTGCTAAAAATACATAGGAGCTAAAAACAGAGAATAACATAATACTTAAGCTGGCTAAAAAAAAAGAGAATCTTCTTCCAACTTATCCAGTTATGGTAAAGAATATTAGATTTGACCAATCATAAATGACAATCTTTCTTTGCATTGTTTTACTGCCATCATTTAGTTTAAGAAGATAAGAATTTCTTTGTTTGTTTTTAAATTTATAACAGAGTACAATATACAATATAATTGTTATTCCATAGGCACGAAAGAATTACTTGAAATAATAAAACAGATTTTTTGTAAGAAAAAGCTTAGGTTCACAAAATATCCTTGTTTTGCCTTCTTCACTGTTTTCTGTAAAAAAGGTATGTCAAGGCAGAATATCTTTTGGGTTGTTTGTTTGTTTATATATTATTTGTTATATGTTTGTCTCTCCCTTTTGTAAGAGACTAACGAGATAAATTGTTACTTTCAAACCACAAATAAATCCTGAACATGAGTTAAATCTCAATTTTTCTTTCCTTAGATTTTTTGTTTCTTTGATATTCTTGAGTTTAAACCTTAGTTTATTCTTGTTCTTTCTAGTCTAATACTAAAAATGTATAAAATACAGTTTAAGATAGTAAATTTTCACCTGAGCACAGCTTTGTCAGAATTCCCTTAATATACATACACACTGTTCTATTTATTATCATTTTTAATAGTTTGTAATTGAAATTTTGCCTTTCTTTTGAGTTGAGTTACTACAGTGCCTGATTTTTTTTTTTGGAGTGAAAAAATTCTATTAATATATTAAAAGTGTTATGTCATCCAAAAACTTAGTTGACAAATTTTCCTATAATTTCACTGTCAAGGATGGGAGAATGCCTCCAGCAAGAAGAAACTGGCAACTTACTCCATTTTGTTCTTTTGTATTATGAGTAGAAATCTACCTCCCCGTTTTATCATAACTTTCCCAGTTTTACTCTCTCAATATATAATATGTAAACATATGGCTCCTTAATATGGCAGGTTTTATTTTTAATAGAAGTACATCAAAGACCCAGAGAAAATGAATGAATATCATCTGTCTGAGATTAAGAGACTAATTGCAGCACCTATCTGATAACTTGTTTTACTATGAAACAAAATATACAAACATACAGGTAATAGGGTTATCGATTTGCATATTTAGGAAAAACCCCAACAAAGATTAGGTTGTGGCTGAATTAAGAAGGGAGATTGTAGCAAAATGTTAAAGGGACAAAAATAAGAGTCTAAAGTTGGAAGCAGAAGGAAAGAGATGATGGTTAGGTGTGGAGTAAAGAAAGGGGAAAGCTGGAAAAGAACTACAAACTGAGTTATTTTTAAGAGAAGGTTAAAGAAGCTAAATAGAGAAACTGAAGATAAAAAGAAAGAAATTTATAGAATAAAACTGTATGGATACAGCAGAATGAAAAGCAAAGGAAGAATGCCTGGGAATAGTGCTGAATAAATGAACTAATTCTTGAAAATGAGGTATATAGTCTTTGCTAAGGACTATTTCCTCCCTCAGAAGTGATTAGAGTTGCTACTTATTTATTAAATATAAATCATTACAGTTTTAAAGTATATTATCTGTTTTTATAGAAATAAAAAGTAGAATTTAAAGAAACTATGTTAAAAACATTGAAACTTACCCAATAGTTGAGTTCAGATACTCCCAATTTTTGAATTTTATTTCTCTTTTGAATTATCACCTAAAATGCATATGATACAAAATGAAACAATTAAGTAAAATTAACACTTATATTTTATAGGAATGGCACATTTCAAAAATTACACAGCTACTCTTTCTTCTCAGCTATCACTGTCCTCCTTAATTGGTGATTTTTCAAATTTGGGGCAAGGTACATTTCCTTGAGGTGAGAGCTAAATGTTTGGTGCGTCAAAAAGTTGTCTCTTGAATCAAGTTAATTCCTGAGTTACTATGGACATGTTCTGCAGGGTAACTGCTCTACAAAAGTGGATAATGCGTAAGTAGAGCATTCATGCAAGTCTATATGCGAGTTATCCAGCAAAATTAGTGCACTAAATTAACATGAAAATCCTTCCTCTCCAAACTACCAAATGAAACATTTAAAAATGTTTCAAAAATGCATTATTGAACTTATATGAAGGAAAAGGAACTTTTCTGGTGACAGAACAAAGTAAGTAATGAAAAAAACTAAAATATTAATATTAATTAGGAGAGGACCTATGACAATCTCTAAGGAGGCCTGTAGAATAAAGTTACAATTCTGGGCTTATATTATAAGAGGAGGGCACCAGAAGAGGCCTTGGGTATATGCAAAGTAAGAAGTTAGAACTGAGACTCATGTATAAAGGTGGGGTCCTCAAAAACTATATTCTCAGTGGTATGGCCCAAATGGTTTTATCCCTGTCAAATTCATATACTGAATCTCTAATCTCTAATGTGATGACATCTAGAGGAGGGGTCTTTGGGAGGTAATCAAGTCATGAGGGTGGAACCTTCATGAATGGGATTAGTATCCATATAAGAAGAGACACTAGAGAGGTGATCTCTTTCTACCATGGGAGGATACAGCAAAAAGACGTCTGTCTGCAAATCAGAAAGAGGGCCCTCACCAGGAATCAAATTGATCAGCACCTAATTTTGGACTTCCCAGCCTCCAGAACTATAAGAAATAAATTTCTATTGCTTAAGTCACCAGTCCATGGTATTTTTGTTATAACAGTCCAAACTGACTAAGATATATAGTGATTAAGAATACCTCACTTATCATCTTTACAAGTTGACAAATTATTTGTTTATTCCCAAGTTATTTGTTTATTCCCAAGGGTAGAAAAAAATGCTTTCCATGAGAAACTAAATTCTTGGGCTTGTATATTATTTAGATTTAGAGTAGAATTTTGTATTATCTAGTTGGTTCAGAAATTCTCAAAAGGATCCAGAATTCCTGAACTTTACTTTCCTATTTTCCAATAGGAAAATATAAATGTACCAGAATGAAGAAAATCTCTATGAACTGATAACCAGGACAGGTTATTAAGTAGAGAAAAAAAGTGCAAAAGACTATATTATGCTATCTTCCATGAATAAAAAGAGGAGATATAAGAAATTATACATGTAGAATTTTATTAGTGCTAAAACAATCCTAACTAAATGGGTCAGCTGGAAAACTAATGAGATTTTTTTCCCTGTGAGGAATAGGTAGGAACATGGTGATAAGAAAGATGAAGAAAATGGGGTAGGAAAATAAGGAGGAATAATAGTTTCTGAGTATAACTTTAGATAGATACATATTGTCCTCTTAGAAACATGGTAATATTTTACCCAAAATAGAATAAATTAATTAGCTAAAATCAATCAGAATGGAACTGCTTCTGGCCAAGTTTGTATAACAGGAGCCACATTTACTCTCTCACCTGAAAAAAACTAAATTACTATGCAAAATAAATCATAAAGACTCCTATGAACACTTATATACCAACAAATTGAATAACTTAGAAGAAATAGATAAATTTCTAGAAAAATACAATCTATTAAAAGTAAATTATGAAGAAATAGAAAGTCTCAAAAGACTTATAACTAATAAGGAGATTAAATCAGTAATCAGAAAACTTCCAACAAACAAAAGCCCAAGACCAGATAACTTCACTGGATAATTCTATGAAACATTTGAAGAAGAATTAATTCTAATCCTTCTTAAAACTCTTCCAAAAAATTGAAGTAGAGGGAACACTTCCAAACACATTTTATGAGACCAGCATTATCCTGACATCAAATTCAGAAAAAAAAAATATATAGGAAAACTACAGGCTAATATCTTCTGATGAACATAGCAAAAAACCAAATACCCCTATTAAAAAATGGGCAAAGGAGTTGAATAAACATTTCTCCAAAGAAGACATATAAGTGGCTAACAGGTATTTGAAAAGATGCTCAACATTATTAATCATCAGGGAAATGTCATCAAAAATACAATGAGATTTCACTTCATATTTGTTAGGGTGGCCATTGTATGAATAAAATAAAATAATTCAAAATACAATCATAAATAACAAGCATTGACAAAAAGGTAGAAAAATTGGAACCCTAATGCACTGTTGGTAGGAATGTAAAGTGGCACAGCCATTATAGAAAACAGTACGGAGGTTCCTCAGAAAACTAAAAATAGAACTACTATATAAGCCAAGAATCCTACTTCTGGGTTATTTATCCAATAAAATTGGAAATAGGATCTCAAAGAGATATCTATGTACTCCTATGTTCACTGCAGCATTATTCATAATACCCAGAGGTGGAAACAACCTAAATGTCCATTGATAGATGAATGGATAAAGAAAATGTGGTATGTACATATAATGGAATGTTATTTAGCTCTAAATAAGTAGGAAATTCTTTTATATGCTACAACACGAATGAATGTTGAGGACATTATGCTAAGTGAAATAAGCCATTCACAGAAGGACAAATACTGCATAATTTCACTTATGTAAAATAGCTACAGTAGTCAAACTCATAGAAGCAGTAGTAGAATGATGGTTTCCAGGGACTAGAGAAAAAGGGAGCTGTTGTTTAATGGGTATAGAGTTTCAGTCGTGCAAGATGAAATAGTTCTAAATATCTGCTAACAATAACATGAATATAGTTAGCAATACTGCATTTAAAAGTTTAAGAGGGTAGATTTCATGTTTTGTGGTTTTTACCATACTACAATTACTACTAATTATAATAATGATTAAGGAACTTTAAAATTTTAAAAATCAAAATATATAAAACAATGATTTTCAAGAAACTGGATGACAGGCAACAATGGGCAAAGATCACTGTGAGGAAATAAATAAAGTGAGCCCTATGATTGCTCCAACTTACTGCCTTGAGAGTGTCCAGGTTGCAGAACAGGGAAGGAGGAACCAGAAAAGGCACAGCAGTCTCCCTGAGCCGAGGAATTGGAATTAGGAGCATAGAAAGACTAGAGTGGCTAGAGTTTGCAGGTCAGAGTACTGGAGAGGAAAGAGCAGTGCAGACTCAGGGCCCCAGATGTCTGAGAAGGGCCCCCCTTGTGTCTTCAGCTCACTGATCAGTGCATGCATTAAAAAACCCTGAAGCCAGGAATAGAAGTATATAAGGCAATTACAGGGAATACTCACCAGAGTCTAAACAAAAAAGGAATAGTTCCTGCTCCCAGACAGAGTGGAAACTTCATAAGTCAGGAGGCATCAGGTAGTCTATGTGGAAGGGTTTCCTTCAGTAGTGGAGTGATATTAGCCATAAACTAACCACTACTTTAGTTTTACCTAACAAATCTTAAAAGCAAGACCTAAAAGGATCAACTGATTTCCAGAAAACCACATTACAGTCAAAAGCTCAAGAATATTTACAGGAATAACAGAATATCTAGTACCTAACAAGGTAAAACTCATGAAGCCTGAAGAGTCAACTAAAATTGACACAGACAACAGAATTAGTAGGCATTAGAGACATTAAAGTAGTTACTACAACCGTATTACACATGTGAAGAAGAGATAAGAAAGAGAGAACATGTTAACTAGAGACAAAAATATTTTAAAAGATGCAAATTAAACTTTTAGATATGAAAATTATGATATCTAAGATAAAAAATACACTAGATGGGGATTAAAAAGATTTGATACCGCAGAAAAAAGACTAATGAACTTAAAGACACAGCGATACCAACTATCCAAAACTAAATACAGAACAAAAATAAACATAGGATCTGTGAACCATAGGACAATTTCAAGCAGTCCAATATACATGTATTAAGCTAAATGGGGAGAGGAGTGGGTAAAACATATTTGAAGAAATAATGGTCAAAAATTTCTCAAATTTGACAGAGCAAGACCCTGTCTCAAGAAAATTTTTTCAAATTTGATGAAAATTATAAACCCAGAGATCCAAGAATTTCAATGAATCCCAAATACAAGAAACATAAAGAAAGCTATAGTAAGACACCTTATATACCAAACTACTCAAAATCAGTGATAAAGTTTTAACAGCCAGAGAAATAAGAAGTGATATGTATAGAGAAAGGATAAGTATGTCAACAGATTTCTCAAGAAAAAAATGCAAGCAACAAATAGTCAAGCAATATCTTTTAAATTCTCAAAGAAAAATATTGCTCATTTAATACCTTTCAACAACATACCTTTCTCATGAAGTATAAGACAATACTTCATGAGAAGCAGATCTTAACTAAAAGAAATGTTAAAGGAAGTCTTTCAAACAGAAGGAATATAATATGTAAATCTATCTCTACACAACTCAAGGGCACTGGAAATAGCAACTGCAGGGTAAATATATAAGATTCTTTGCTATTTTTAAAAGATAACTGTTTAAAATGATAAAATTTTTTCAGGCATTTATATCATATGTTTGAGTAAAAATGTATGAAAACTACTAAATAAAAGAAAAATGCACCATATCAAAATATCTGGGATGCTGATAAAGCTATACTTTGAGGGAAGTTTACATCACTAAACATTGATGTTAATAAAACAAAAAAAGTCTCAAATCAATGACCTTACATTATACCTTTAAAAGAACAGGAAAAATGAGAGCAAATTAAACTCAAAGTAAGCAGAAGAAATGAGGTAATAAAGATTGAGTAGAAATCAACAGAGCAGAAAATAAAATAAAATAAAATAAAAAACCACAGTAGAGCCAATCAGTGAAACCAAAAGCTGTTTCCTTGAGAAAAATCAATAAAATTGATAGACTTCCAGCCAGACTGATAAGAAATAGGACACGAATATTTAATATCAGAAATGAGAGAAGAAATATAATTGCAGACACTATAGATATATAAAAAATAAAAAGAGACTATCATCATGAACTTTGTTAATAAATTGACATCGTATATGAAATTGAAAAAATCCTTAACAGCTACAGCCAATTGAAATGCACTCAAGAAGAAACAGATAACATGTAGTTAAAAACATTCCAACAAAGAAAGTCCTGGATGGCTTTGGTAGTAAATTTTACCAAACATTTAGGGATGAAATCATACCAATTCTAAACAAATTCTTCCAGAAAACCAAAGAGGAGGGTAATACCTTGACACCAAAATAAGATGAAGATATCACAAGAAAACTGTGTACTAATAATCCTCATGAATGTAGGTGCAAAAATTATAAACAAAATTATAGAGAACTGTATGCAACAACAAATAATTAGAATAATACAATATAACCAAAGTAAGGTCTATTCAAGGGATATAAAGATGGTATGACATGTGAAAAGTAATCAATATAATTCACCATATTAAAAAACTATAAAAGAGAAACTATAGGATATCACATCACCTTCAAAATTCATTGCTGAAAAAACTTATAGAAAATTACAAATAGAAGGGAAATTCTTCAAACTTATAAAGCATTTCTCTGAAAAAAACCTATAGCTAATACCATTACTTAAGGATGAAAGACTGAGTAATTAAAAAAATTCAAAAACAACTGAAACTTACATTTCAAAATAAGCTAAAAGACATTTAAAAATACTAAAAAATACAAAATATTGACATAAATAGAAATTAGTAAAATTGAGAAATGAGTTGATAGGACTCAGAAAAGAATTTAAAATAAGTAAAAAATAATTTCAGACATGAAAAGTAAAGTAGAAGGAATATAAGAGTAAATAAACACAATAATAGTGTCTTAAGAGATATAAAAGGTGAAGAGAAGAAAACTTTTAGAAATGAAAAAAGAAATAAGATATAAAAATCATTCAAGAGAAAGTAACACATTTAAAACATAATTGAAACATATCCAACATACATTTAATGAGCCCCTGAAGAAAACCAAAGCAAGGAAACTAAACACTAAAACTTATACTAAAATTTAATACTAACAACTAGCATTTAAGAGATGTTTCATGAAATAAAAACAAAAATATCTGAAACCACATATCAAAAGGGCGTACTATATAACTGCAAAAATCAAGTGAAAACAAATGACAGTAACATATATACTTATCTTTAAAGCAAAGGAAGAACACTTTGGGTTCCAAGCAAAAAGACCAAGTCACTTAAAAAACTTTTAACAGGAACCCTTTTGGACAGAAGAAAAACAAGATCTCAAAGAAAAAAAAAATATGAGCCAAGAATTTTATATTCAAGGAAAAGGTCATTAAGACAAACTGTGAAAAACACACAAGAATTAAGGGAATTCCCATGTAGAGTAAGCCTTAAATAACCAAAATAACTAGAAGGTAATGACATAAATTCTGGTGGTAAATAAATGTATATTCATTCATATAAAAACACTAAATAGGAGTTATAAGGCAGAGAGTACAGTATGTAATGCCTCTATGTTCTGATAATATAGATACACAACTAGTAAAAAAATGGGCGAAGAGAATGAAATAAGGATATGCAAAAAAAATCTTTATTTTCAGTAATCATGGTGGTGGTATAGTAATAGTAATTCATTCTTATGTGTGCACTTTGGAATAAAGCAAATGAATATGTGATATCCTAATTATAACATCCCTGGTTTCTTGAGAACCAAGAGATACAAATACAGGGTAGAAAGATTTAAGTAAAGACCCTGTAGTCCTATATGCCTGAATTTGATTTGGAAATATCCATAAGAACTCATTAGCTATTTTATCATAAATATACATACAGATACACTGTATCTCTCAGATTTTCTGAGAGACAGAGAGAACATACCCTATAACATTTCCTAGCTCTAGCCACTGACAATGATCTACTCATAACCATGAACACTGAACATCCCTGGGGCCCAGACTATGATCTTAAAATATCATTTCTCCAATAAAGGAAAGCAGGGCTTGACTCCAGGTGTTAGCCAGGAATACACAAGAGAGACCTAGAACAACTTGTAACACACAACACAAGTGAACTATCAGACTACTAGGGTCATGACAAAAAGCTTAGGAGAAACCTCAAGAGGCTCTACTGGTCAACAATGAAACAATGTGAGCATGAGTAAAGATAATAATTTCAACTGACTTAAAATATATCAGAAATGTTTAAATCCCTATGTTTATAATGATACTTACACACACACACACACACACACACACACACACACACGCACGCACACACCCTCCCCCCATGTCCCAAAAGATCCTACATTTGGAAGATGACAGGGAAATCAATTCATTATTTTTAAAACTAGCAAATAATGAGGTAAATCAAATATTTACTTCACTTTTCCTAAATGAACTAGAAATTAAGGATTAGAATATCACCATTTTGCAATCCCTATGGAATTAATGGATCTAGTATGGAGTGTTAATGGTTGCTATCATAAAAGGAGAGACATTATGTGGCTCCTAATGAAAGAACAATACTATAGATTTGCTAAAGTGGTTAAATCTGAACCTGTCCAAGTTTTGCATCCAATTACTAATATATTGGAAATACAGAAGACAAAGGAGCATGTTAACCCACATCATTAGAATTCAAAGAGCAAAATCTGGACCACTGAATCCTCCACATGTTCAATGACTTAGATTCTTCAAAACATAAATATCATGAGGAAAAGCCAGGGAGATATACAGTAAATCCAAAGATAAAAAGAGAAACTGAAATGACAAAACTATAAAGGAATTCTAGGAAATAATTACCATAGTAGTCAAGACAGTCACTACTGTTTTAGGGCTGGGCAAGGGAGTTATAATTGGGACGGGTCACTTAGAGGGCTTCCAGAGTGGTTTGAAAAGTCATAATTTTGACTTGATGGTAGTTTAAGAATGTTTGCCAAACAACAGTTCATTAATTATTAGTACAGTTGGCCCTCCATATCTGTGGATTTCACACCAATGTCAGATTCAATCAATAGTAGACAAAAAATATTTGAAAAAAATTTTTTTTAAATAATATCAATTTTAAAAAAAATAATAATTATTTACATTGTATTAGGTATTACAAAAATCTAGAGATGATTTCAAATACACGAGAGATGTGTATAGGCTATATACAAATACTATGCCATTTTATATAAGGGACTTGAGCATCTGTGGACTTTGGTATCACAAGGGTGGTCAGGTGTCCTGAAACCAGTACTTAATCATTACAGAACTGTACATAATCAGTATTAGTCAGTACTAAGTCCCCACATAAAACATTTGTTTTATGTGGTTTTCTGTACCTGTATTTCAAAATAAAAAAGTTTTCATGAAAAGACGTGGATGAGCACACTACTAGAAGTCCTTTACTTTGAAATGCTGAAAAAGTATGACAAAATGTTGAAAATAAATAGCATATTTTTTTGAGGAGAAAGAGGAAACATTAACTATGAGGGAAAAACAATGTGGAAAGTAAAAATGTTAAAACATAGGGGCTACCCTCAAAGATTTAATCACTGTACCATACATGGAAAAGAGCTATATTTTGGCATTACTGTAGTTGATATTATTTTAAATCAGTGTGGAAATGGGAGATAGAGAAGAATATTCCAGGTTCTGGTTTATGGCTATCGGAAGTGTGACTACAAACTAATAAAAATGTTTTATTAAACCACCAATCCAAATACATGTCCAAAGGAGGGTTATTCCATGAAAGTAAGTAATGTGAGGAAACTACACACTTATTATTTTTCCATTGTTCAAAACAGTTTGGAACTCCATTTTGTAAACTGTCTTCAGAGATAAGTTAGTTATAGGTGTAAGAGGTCCTATTACTCTATTGTCATACCATAGGTTAATCAAAATCTGTTTTACCAAGCTCAATTACCCACCTTATTCACAAGGTTTTGGTTATTTCCAAAAATCAAATCCACCCTTGAAAGATGAAGATTTGCCACCATTGAGGATATTCTCAAGAATGTGCCACAGTCTGTGAAGACAATTTAAGGAGTTCCAAAAATGTTTTGGGCAACAGCAATGTCACTGTAATAATACTTAGCCTACTGAGGTGACTTAAGAGAAACAAATCATTTTTATCATAAAATATAGGATGTTTTTAAAGTAAGTCTTATTACCTTATGATCATTGTAAACAAAATATTTACTTGGGCACTACTTTAAAAAATTTTTTTGTACTGTATTATAATATTTTTCAAGGATGAGATGGAAAATAAGCTTTACTCAGGGAAAACTTGTTTATGTAAATGATAATCAGGAAAGGGCCCTATTTATTTTCCTATACTTGTATTAGAAAGGTAAACCTGGTATTTGTCAGGTTAAAAAAAAATATTCATAAACTTAACAAACACTTACCCATGTCATTAACAAAGATGAAGAATAATAAGAAGATAAATACATTGGATTTCCAAACATCAAAACAAAACAAAGGAGAACTGAAGTCTGAAAAATGAAAAAAACACAAACACATTTTATAGGTATTATATATATGGCATAATGCCTACTTTGGCAACGTACAGTCATTTCTAATATAAATTGTATTTACATGAAGATGATGAATGAATCTTGGCCAAACAGTAATGGAATTTCAAGTAGCTAAGTTCTAAGCATTAAAATTCCAAACTATAAATTCTGTATGGCTAAATTTAATTTTTTTCTCCATCCTCTACTTGAAACAAGGAAAAATAAAAATAAATATTATTTCTATTGTTTTAATAATGAGTATAATAAGAGTTATAAATATTAGTTTTATTAATTTTTATTTGATTACTTCAGAATTTCCATCACTTGTGAAGCTTTACTTTTTTTCATATTTTTTAGGAAAATGTGTTTGGAAACTAAGATAAAAACAAAAATGCAACAACACACTTGAAGCTCTTACTGGGGGGGGGCATGGGCAATATATGTAACCTTAACACTTGTACCCCCATAATATGCTAAAATAAAAAAAAATTGAAAAAAATTTAAAAATTTTCAATTAGAGTGTCATATTCATGCAAAGTGCTAAAAATCTCAGGTCTGAGAAAGAAAAGATAGTTTCAAAAGTAGTGACAATAACAATACATAAAAATAAAACATAGTTTTAAAGAATCTGTAGTTGAAAGTATGAGCTATAATATGATATCCATAATATATATTTCTAGTTTTCATTCAGGATATCACTAATACCATATGTATTAAGTAGTACCAAAGAGAAGGTGCCCCCTAAAACAGAATCAGTTATGTTTTACAAACTCTGAGATCTTATTTTAGCATCTCACTTATAAATATTAAAAATGTTACCATGTTCATATAAATGATCTTCTGAAACTTGCTTGGCTCAATGTATCCCACAATATACATGGGAAATAATGAGGCTATCTGAAATAAAAATATAAAAAATGCAAAAGTGAAAAAATTATACAAAACAAACATTTCACTATTCATAGGCAAAGAAAATATAAGGGAGAGTTAAAGTTCTAATACTACTAGGCAAAATAATTTGAACCAACCTTCCTACTGAGAAATAGACTAATTAAGAAAAAATATAAATATATATAAATAAAAAACCAAACATACAAAAAATATATAAAACCACAGATTATTAACATGGCAAATTAACAATTAAGAAGATAAAACCAGGGAAAATTAGGGTTACTCTTTCCTAGAAGTATCTGCCAATTCCAATAGGGGCAGATGCTTGCCAGCTACAGACAGTTGACAGATGTCAAGTTGACAGATGAGCAGGTATTTCAACAGACTCAGTTGTCAGGGCACATTAAGAAGGGGATGCCTGGTAAATCCCCAGGCTTTGGTTTGGAGCTTCAAAGCACTATTAGTGTGAACAGAAACCAAGCAGCCCTCAGAAAGACCAAAACTCATCTATTAATCAACTCAACCTGATTGAATAAAGGTGATTCAAGATTATTAGTGCCTTTACTTGCCTGCTAGTAGCAAACTTAATCTTCTCTGCAGGAAGTATCAACTTAGCTTCAAATTGACTCTATAATTTTTTATACATAATGTCCAGTACCACATCAAACATAACCAAGCAAAGGCAGAGATAAGACAATATCAGTAAAACAATAGAAACAGCCCCACAAGACTGTAGATCAGGGATCAGCAACATGTTATGTAAAATGCCAGATAGTAAATATGTTATGTTTTGTGGGCCACATACAGTCTCTGTTGTATGTTATTCTTTTCCTATTTTTTACAACCCTTTAGAAATGTAAAAACCATTATTAGCCTAGAGACCACTCAAAAACACATAAGACATGAATTTAAACTATGTTTGAAATGTTTGAGGAAATAATAGATAGGGATTGAAAATTTCAGGAGAGGAAAGCACTAGAGGTCATAAAAAAAATCCAAATAGGAATTTTATAACTAAATAGTACAATAAATATTAAAAAGTTAACAAATAGGTTTAAAAGCAGATTAAATACAGCCAAAGAAGTGGAGAAGTAGAAGATAGATCAGAAGAAAATATCTAGAAGGAAGCACAAAATGATAAAAGGATGAAAAACATATGAAAGCATAAGAGATGTAGAGTACACTGCATAAAAACCTGCTATGTTATACTTTACATCTCAGGAAGAGAGAAGGGAATTAGCTAGAAGCTATATTTAAAGGGATTATGGCTAAGAACTTCCCAAAATTTATAGATAAATTGGAGCACTGATTCATGAAGTATTGTAAATCCCCAAGGAGGGTTAAAATTTTAAAAAACCTGATCACACAAGCATATCATAGTAAAACCTACATGAAACAAAACGCAAAGAGAAAATTCTTAAACAAGTAGAGACTGACGGTAAAACTTACTCTAAAACTATAGTAGTCAATACAGTATGGTATTGGAAAAAATAGTTGAATTGATTAATGGAACAAAATAGAGAGCCTTGAAACAGACCTGTATAAATACATGCAACTGAGCTTTTACAAAGGAGCAAAGGCAGTTCAATGGAGAAAAGATAATCTTTTTAACTAATGGTGTGGGAACAACTCAACATCCACATGCAAAAATAAAAAATAAAAAGAGAAGAATCTAAACACAGACCTTATATCATTCACAAAAACATTAACTCCAACTGGATCTTAGATCTAAAAGTGAAGTGTATAAATAAAAAAATTATAAAAATAATATAATTAAGAGAAAATCTAGGTAACACTGGGAGTGATGATGAGTTTTAGATATAATATCAAAGGCACTATCAATCAATGAAAAAATTGATAAATTGGGCTTTATTAAAATTAAAAACTTCTATAGGGAAAAACTAAAAGCCTTTCCTCTAAGATCTGGAAGAAGACAAAGATGCCCACTTTCACCACTGTTATTCAACATAGTATTGGAAGCTTTAGCTAGAGCAATCAGACAAAAGAAAGAAATAAAGGGCATCCAAAGTGGAAAGGAAAAAGTGAAATTATCCTTGTTTGTAGATGACATGATCTGATATCTAGAGAAACCTATAGACTCCACAAAAAAAACAATTGGAATTGATAAATTCAGTAAAGTTGCAGGGTACAAGATCAACCTACAAAAATCAGTAGCATTTCTATATGCCAACAGCAAACAATTTGAAAAAGAATCCAAGAAAGTAATCCCATTTATAACAGTATTATAGCTACAAAAAATAAAATACATAGGAATAAACTTAACCAAAGAACTAAAAGATCTCTACAATAGAAACCATAAAACATTGATGAAAGAAATTGAAGAAGACACAAAAAGGGGAAAGGTATTCCAGGTTCACAAATTGGAAAAATCAATATTGTTAAAATGTCCATACTACCCATAGCAATCTGTAGATTCAACATAATCCCCATCAAAATACCAATAATATTCTTCACAGAAATAGGAAAAAAAACCTAAAATTTATATGGAACTACAAAAGACCCAGAATAGCCAAAACTATTGTAAGCAAAAAGAACGAAACTGGAAAAATCACATTATCTGACTTCAAATTATACTACAGAGATATAGTAACCAAAACAGGACTATACTGGCATAAAAACAGACTCATAGATCAATGAAACAGAAAAAAGAATCCAGAAATAAATCCATACATCCATAGTGAATTTACCTTCAACAAAGTAGCCAAAAACACACAGTGGGGAAAAGACAGTCTCTTTAATACATGGTGCTGAGAAAACTGGATATGCATATGCAGAGGAAACTAGACCCTTATCTCTTGCCAGATACAAAAATAAATTTCAAATGTATTAAAGACATACGTTTAAGACCCCAAACTATGAAAATACTAAAAGAAAACATTGGGGAAATGCTTCAGGGCACTGGCCTGGGCAAGCACTTCTTCAGTAATACCCTCAAGGCACAGGCAAGCAAAGCAGAATTGGACAATGGGATCACATCCAGTTAAAATGCTTCTGCACAGCAAAGGAAACATGCAACAAAGTGAAGAGACAACCCATAGTATGGGAGAAGGTTTTAAGTATTTGCAAACTACCCGTTTGACAAGGGATAAATAACTAGACTGTTTAAGGAGCTCCAACAACTCAACAGGAAAAAATCAAACAATATATTTAAAAATGGGCAAAAGATGTGAATGGACATTTCTCAAAATAAGACATACAAATGGCCAACAGGCATGTGAAAATAATGCTCAACATCACTAACCATCAGAGAAATGCAAATCAAAACTACAATGAGCTACCATCTCACACAAGTTAAAATGGATTTTATCAAAAAGACAGACAATAATAACAAATGCTGGTGAGGACACAGAAAGAGGGCAATCCTTGTACACTGTTGGTGGGAAAGTAAATTAGTGCACCTACTATCCATAAAGGTATGGAGATTTCTCAAAAACTGAAAATAGAACTGAAAATAGAACCACATGACCCAGCAATCCCACTGCTAGTCACATATCTAAAAGGAAATCAGTATTATCAAAAATATATCTACACTCCCATGTTTACTGCAGCACCCTATAATAGCCAAGATTTGGAATCAACTTAAATGTTCATTAATGGATGAATGGATAAATTGTGGCACATACATGCAATGAAATATTATATAGCCAAAAAAAGAATGAAATCCTGCCATTTGGAGCAACATAGATGAAACTGGAAAACATTATGTTAAGTAAATAAGCCAAGCACAGAAAGATAAATCTTGCATATTCTCACTCATATGGGAAAAAATAGTAAACAATTGCTCTCATAAATACAGAGTGTAGAATGATGATTACCAAAGGCTGGGAAGGTTACCAGGGGTGGAAGATAAAATGGGGATGTTTAATGGGTGCAAAAATATAGTTAGATATAAAAAACAATATTTAATAGCACAACAAAGTGATTATCATCAACAAGTCAGGGTATAGTTTAAAATAACTAAAACAGTAGAATTGGAATGTTCCGAACACAAAGAAATGATAAATGCCTGAGGTGATGGAGACCTCAAATACTTGCATTTGATTAATTCACACTGTATGCCTGTACACAAATATCACATGTATCCTATAAATATATACAAGTATTATGTACCTATAATGATTAAAAATAAACATTTTTTAAAAGATAAAAAAGCTACATATAGCAAAATGGTAGCTCAATGTCAGGTGCAATTATTTGATAAAAAGCCCTCTATTTGTATGCCTCTTTAATAAAGCTCTACATTCAAATATTAAAAACATAAATTTAAAACTTCTACAAAAGACTCTTCTATGGTTTTAATATGGTTTGTCCCCATCACACTCCTATTGAGGTTTGATCTCCATTGTGGTGGTGATAGTGGTGGTAGATAGTGCCTTTATGAAGTGATTAGGTGTCTCTCAGGCCTGAATTAGTTACTACGAGATGGTTGTTATAAAGCAAAGCTGCAACTAAAATGTGGTCTCTTTGCACATACCCATTTTCCCTTCTGCTTCCTTCTCTGACATCTTATGACACTGCACAAGGCCCTCACCAGACACCAGCCAGATGCAGCTGCTTGATCTGGGACCACCCACCCTCCAGAATTGTGAGCTAAATAAACCTGTTTCCTTTATAGATTACCTGGTCTCAGACATATTGTTACAGTAAAAGAAGATGGACTAAGACAGACACTATAAAGAAAATGAAAAGACAAGCCAAAGACTGAGAGGAAATCTTTGCAAAAACACATATCTGATAAAAGGTTGGTATCCAAAATATACAAAAACTCTTAAAACTCAATAAGAAAACAACCAACCAATTTAAAAATGGGCAAATGATTGAAAAAACACCTCAACAATGAAGATATACAGATGGCAGGAATATGCACATGTGAAGATGTTCAACATTATTATGTCATTAGGAAATTACAAATTAAAACAAGGAGAAACCATTTCTCACTATAGAATAGCTAACATCCAGTACACTAACATAAATGATATTTTCCT